CAGAAGGGTGGGAAAGTAGATTAAAACGAAATTGCGTAGTAGAAATGTTTGCCTGTCTGTTTTTTTTCCTGCGTGAATATTCACGAGTTTGTCTGAGCGTCTGCTGCAACATTTGCGTATGAATGTGAGTACACGCGACCCAACGAAGTACAAACTGGCCTGGTCTCGCTACAGATCTACCTCGTTTCGTATCTAAAACGCTTTACCTAAACAATGAATTGGGAAAAATGTTGTATTTAAGTTGGACTACTTGACATCGGTTAGTAAAGCCAAACAGCTTGACAAACCGTGATAATAACAATGTGTTTATTATGTATTCGTTTATACAAGAAAACATATTACCCTGGAGAATGGTCGGAGCCATGATCTGCTTCTCTGATAACGCACAGTCCCCTCTTGAGTATTTGCTTTACCGACTTAGGTTCTTAGACACGCTAGAGTGTTAGCTAATACTGTTGAAGATGGGTCTTGCAACTTCAGAATCCCGGTCAGAGTATATAGTACTATAAGAGAGAATTACGAACAAATCTTTTTTTTTTTTTTTTTTTTTTTTTACGATATTCGGTAATACTCTGCCGTGACAATTCTACCTTGATGATAATGATCAGGAAGTATGAAAAATTCCATTCTATATTGATTTAAATATTTCTTCAAAATAACATTTATTATATTAATACTTAGTGGTTTAGAGTATTTTGTTCTGTAGTAGTCACGCATATATATATATATATATATAATAGTTCGACTATGGAACTTAAATAATGTGTGTAGCCACGTTTATAAACTGTACATAAAAATATATATTATTATGTTTAATAATAGTTTTTTTTTAATACTAATCATATTACTAATTCATAAGAGTTAATTACTGCTCTCAGAGTGTTTCAGTGTTATTCAAAGCTAAAACTGTATAATCTCGCACAAATTTGATCAGAACATATTAATTCAAATACAATACCCTGGTTCTAATAGGCCAGGACTTTACTCAACGTTTCATTACAGGAGACTTGTTCAGTATATAATAGTAAATATTAGGTTCGATGCTTTTTTTGCAGAACAAATAAATAAGAATGACCCTAACACTAGAAATATACGTATTCACGATATAGTTCGACGTAAGATTAAGCTCTCCTTGAGAGACGCTGCAATAGATAGGACAAAAAAAAAAAGTCGATCCCTCGAAACAAGGAGAAAAACCAAAGAACTTGCGAAAGCTTCATTTTTCGAACGGCCTGAGCTAGAGACAGACATACGGTGTTACTTTTGGCAGCAAACGTAGACATGGCCATACTTTTCACAGTTTCCTCATCAACTGAGCGAGTTCATCCTTCGCTTTTCAAGAGATAAACTATGTACGTTTATGTGAAGATGGTCAAATTGATCACATGGGGCAAAGTCGGCTGGTATCTGGAGCTGAAAAGTCGCTTCATGGATTGAATATACGAATTTGTGAAAAATTCTTTGGGTGTGAAGTTAGACAGAGTTCTCAGAAAATAAGTTCAGTGCATTAGTAACTGAAGAGCGGCCATCAGAGCGACTCCGAGGAACACGCAGACGAACTGTTTTAACGATTCCCTGAAATACCGAAGAACAACCTCCAGCTTACACAATTGGATTTAGTGACGATCAATAGCCGCTTTGTAAAATAACGCACCGCGCCATATTTCGGCTCTTTTTAAGCGTACAAACTCTAATTTATGAGTATTAGCGCTAAAATTTGCAATCGGTTCTCTCTTGCATATGGTCTTCACTATACAAATGCATTAGACGCCATCCGGGGCCGTCCTGTGATTCTATTTGGAACTCGCCTTAAACATACCCAGCCTGGCTTGATTTCCACTTAGTTCATGTAATTTACCGTATAACTTACCCCGGGTTGCGCTCTTTTAACAGTTCAGGTAACACTCCGATCAGGGCTATGTTGATAAAGCCCCCTGCCGTAAATGGCAGAATCCACGAAGTACAGCTGTCAACATTGATTACAGTTAGCAACAAGCTAATGTACCGTCATATGTGACAATACAAAAAACAAAACCATATGGTAAAAATGAACATTAATAAATCACTCATATACTTTTACGGTTCATAATACATTGAAGGTCTAATTATAGTGCCAAAAAATCTGGCCAGTCCGTAGTTCGATGGCGGCTGCTATGGATACCAATCAGTAGACGCCAGGTTGCGGAACGGTAGGGTATTCGCATTCAACTAATCTAAAAATGATCATAATCCTAAATTTTAATAGTAATATATTTGCGTTAGTTACCACATTTTCAATGTACTACTAGAGGGTGTACACCTTGGAGACAAAAGAAAAAAAAAAAAACCACAACAGCGGAGAGTGTTTGCTTGTCATACGGTTTCACACTCTGAAACCGGCAATGTTTTTCCATCGATTAATGTTCGTATTGTACATTACCTGCCTAACGACTCGACTCGCTCAACGGACAAGGCAGCTATGGCCCCAAAGACGCCGACAGCCGCTGTGCTTAATTGGGCACGAGCCGCCTATAAAGAAAACACCCAACATTTGTATCACTGGACCTAGGTCACTTCTGCGCCCTTTAGTGAGTAGGCAAACACGTTGGTACTACATCATCCACAAACATTTTTAGATTCCTACGTAATCTCCATAGTCATGTAACCGACCTACTGACATGTAATCTTGCAAAGTGAAGCGAATTTAGTTTATTTAGAAAAAAAGGCCGCCCGTAACGCAGGCCATGCGTCGAACATCCTCCGACGACAACACCAAATTGAACTGAGTTTGGTGTTGTCGTCGAGCCGTTTGAGAGGAACTTACTTACCTGCCACCGTGAGAAACCCGATTTAAGCAGTATAGCGAAGTCCCCGACCTCATGAGGAATTTCATGTAGCAAAATTGCAAAGGTGGTAATCAAGCCGACCTGTTTCGAAGTGTATATAATCGCGGTGATTATTTAAGAACAATTATTATTATTTAAGGCTTTTCACCAATCAATAGAAAATGTCTAATACGTATCTGTAAATATAGCCATGGCTATAGTTTATTCAGTTTGAATACATACCCTTATTCCTGCCAAAAAACTTCCTGCCACTGCGAGTCCGTGACTGAAGTTATCGATGCTGTTTGCAATAAGGTTTAAATAACCTGCAAAACATATAGCATATCACAATTAGCCTAATCAGGACAAATAAATTGATTCGCTTGAAGTTCCCGTGAACATGTGCGCTGAGAATAACTTGTCATTTTGATTTATTTTTACAAGTCGTTATGGTAAGATATAGACTATTTTTGCGTACGGTTTTAGCAGGCTGAAAATACTCGTCCCGTTCTTGGCTGGACGAACAGTAATACATCACTCTATGTAATGCACAGGAGTAGAAGAAGGACAAACCTGAAACGTGAATGAGATCTGAGCTATCGTTCCTAGGCCTCGTCTTGTTCGAGGGAACTGACCCGTTGCCATTAAGACGACTGTTATTTTTATTAACGTTATTCCCGTAAACATCGACCTTCCCGTTACTGTGTATTGCATGATCGTCGTCCTTTTTGTCTTCACCTAACTCGTATTCTTCCTAGAACAGATGAACCGTTTGGTCGGTTAAATCAATATGTATAAGCGCAAAGGTTTAATTTAATAGTGCCAAAAGTTGAACCATAGGCACGTACGTACGTACGTACGTACGTACGTACGCACGCAGTATATAAAAGCGACAACTGTGAGGCAGGCGACAGTAAATGATCATTCGTTTAAAGAAAATCACAGATGAATAGGAAAGCGGACGCGATAACTGCTACTGTTGGAAGATAATATAACATTGATATTTTTTTCTTCGACGTTCAAGCTATGCATGTAAGCCGGATCATAAGCAGTAACAAAAGCGACAGCTATCTCGATTGACCTGTAAGCGTTGGTGTGCAGCGAACAACAGTTCAACCAGGACGAACGTAAACAATCCCACAAGGGTCCATATTCCGGAAGCGCGCAGGGCAGACTCGTCGTCCGTGTATCCACCTAAGCAGGACGTACAACCCGCAAACACATACGTGCTAGTTAGGTTAGCAGTGCCAGATATGTAAGCGCTATTATCTAACTATTTGACGTACGCAAGGCGCCATTTATGCATGACACGGTTTCACAGGTACGTCTGATGCGAGTTGCACGTTTAGAAAAACAAAAACACACATATATATATTTGTGTGTGTGTGTGTGTGTTTAATGAACTCGATCGGTTGCATACCTGTGTTTTTTAATATTTCTACCGATTCGGGAAGAAGATGAAGGAAGACGTCACCGAGCAGCCCGCCAACAGCGAACCCGAGTAGTAGCCGAAGTGTACCCCCACCTTAAAGTGAACAGTTCAAAGGGGGCTGTGTCAATTGTGCATTTACACACAGCGAATTGTTAGGAGTAGAACGACCCTTAGAACTGTGCAATTTTTTTTCAAACACATATATTAATTCCACATTAATGATTATAACCGCTTATACTGGTATAAGAGAAGATAACATCGTTTCGAGAAATTAGGAAAAGGCAGGAAGGTCTTATGCCATTGGACACATTGAGTCGCGTTTAGATAGCTGTCATTGTCAGTCTGGATGTCGTATAGTCATAAACGACAAGAAAAAGGTAAAACCGTATCTAAACTTCCGAAAATTGCAGATGCACTCAATGCATGAATATAGAGACCCATTTATCTCTCTTAAAATTTAAATTACTAGCCAATATGAATACATGATATATAATGATATAATATGTGATATTATAGAATCTTCTGGGATCATATATGATGTCACATTTTTAAAGTAAATCTGAGAAATACCTATGATGGCAGTTAGGGCTCATTATATCGATATCTTCTTAGCTCTTGTTAAGCGAACGTAAATAGTGAACGACACAAAATAACCGACTGAAGAGATAGCATTCTTCTCGAGGAAACGTATCAAGCAGCCGCGTTCAGCTAATATACTCAAATGTGAATGATGACTGCCACGTGGGTCAGACGACGTCCCGTAAATTTAGCTTTCTACTGAGCTTAATTTTGTGTTTTTGCTAGCTAGTTAAGGTAATCGACTTCGAGTCAGACGTTAAAATCAGACCAGCTACCCTAATAGTATGTCGCCGCGCAACAAGATGTCTGCCGCGTTTCTGCGATCTTGTTTTGAGCTGTGTCTCGGATTTAAAATAAGCCGCCGTTGCGTCAGCCGTAATTAGGCGCATCACGCGACTGTGTACGAGCATATTTTATAAACGTTAGGAAAGTACACTATAACAAAAGACCTGTAATTTCGAAGATCTAACTTTACCTATTTCATCAGAAGGTTCAGATTTATCCACACAAGTAAATAGTCGAAAATATGGCTCGATCAAATAGTTTTCACATGCCTGATTTGTGTGCCAATGAAATAAGACAGATGTTTTTCTCAATTCGATTGCCCCTCTTACCAGTAGTGATCTTTTCTCCATCTAAACATCTAACTTAGATTTTTATATACTTTACAGAGTATCGTTTAGCAAAGCTGATTCTAGCTCCAACTTTTCCATGGAAATAAGGTTAAACGCCTTTAATATTTTGCTTACTAGATCTTACATATATAGATAAACATATAACTTTCATATATGAATCAATGGAAAAAGTGCTTATGGTGGGTTTGGTAGCTCTTGAAGGACTAAAATGGAATTGCACAGATATCGTAATCGATCTATTTTAATGGAGCTGCAGCATGTTTCAATAGTTCTGAACCACCACGGGCACCTTTGGGTAGGTGCCGACAATCATTTTAGCACCTACTAGAATAGGCCCTATCAAACGAAACACCATAGTTACGCCTAAATGTTGCCTATTTTACGTCCGCCATGGCTGTTAGCGATTGCTTGACCCTAATTACACCGGAATAAAACTGACACAACATTTAATATCTGAGCTGCTTTTTTAAGTACTCTTAAATCTTACTAAGCACTTATGATCTATCTATTCTATATATCGTTTGTCGCATTGCCTCAACTACGTTATCGCTAGAAAAGTTCTGCTGCTGAACTATAATAGAAGATGAATAGTAAATACCGCGACTTTCACGAACGTATCAGCGTACATCTTCGAATCGAGTCGACTACCGTTAATAGAAATACAAAATAAACGATAAGCCTCATAATTACTTAAGAGGGTCCGAACAAAAACCAGCTTCGCTGCTCTGGCAACGCTGCACGTATTGTAGCATCAGTGCGTAACATAGCCAAACGTTTGCCCTCTACTGGGCAGTGTTTAGTTGTCAGTGCAATTTTCGCCCGGACTGTCATTTGGTCAGCAATGGATGCCGGGTCTTCTCTCATCCAAGCGGTGTGGAAATCCTCGTATTAGTGAATAGGTGAGCAAGACAATGGCGGTGATTGGGTAAATGGAATAAACATATTCTTCCCCGATCACAGGAAGATGGAGGCATTCGTACTTCGTTGAGTCAGTGAATAGAGGATGTGGCAAACTATTAGCCAGATGTAAATTTATATGTCAGGTTTGCGCTACACTTAAAGGTAGACCTGCCGATTAGTGACTGGTCGCCCTTCAAACTATAATCGAGGAAGAAGGGCCGTTATTTGTTAACTCAATGCAGATACATAGGTGCATGTAATTAAAATGTAAGTATACTTCATATGCAGCATACTACCCTCGGCATATAATGTCCGTATTTAATCTTACTTTTTTAAATCCACTGTTCTTTTCGTTAAGGTATCGACACTCGTATATGAATGAACTCGCACATACACGGCCTTAAAGATAAAAAAAAAAACAGACTTTTTCAATGATAGCCGCAATATTGATATATTTGTTTGTCGCCTTTATTTGGCAGCGCATCCAAACCAAGCATACATTTTCAAGGCCATCTATGATATATCGAAATGGTTTCGCTTTTAATTACAAAATTTTAGGTACAGCTGAGGCTATTGGGAGGCTTTATCTAGTGACTATTTGGGAAATATCTAGTGGCCACTCGTGAAAAGCTTTGGCAGCTTTTTTTTTTGTTTTTTTTTTTTTTTTTTGCCTCAAAAAGCCTAACGACGTGTCTTGCCAGAATAAACACTCGCAAATAGGAATGTTAACATAAACATACTAACTAAGTTATAAAACCTACGTCTATGACACACACACAAAAAATAACGAGTCGGGATTGATATCGTATGGCTAACTATTACTAATTCGTTTGAATAGAGAGTTGCTAGACGCACCAGTTTCACTATTTTCCCGTAGTCGAAGCCCCATTTCCGGCGGAATGATTAATAGAGGTAAAATTCCACTCAGGCCGATCATACACGTGGCCCCTAAGGTCAACAGCCATGTTAATAGACTTCGCCTTCATGGTCGTAGATTTCAATGTCCAGCATCATGGGAACGACAATTCGTACACGACGAATAAGCATAACATGAAAAAAATGAAATAAAATACACAAAAAAAGTAAGGACATACTGAAGGCCCATCTTCTGCTTAGAGTTAGAAATGTGTGTTTTTTTATACACAAGAAAGGCGATTTGTACACCGACTCGAAACTGTTGGCAGCAATAATCAATTTTAAACTTGGATACGCTGGAACCCCTATAAATCATCAGCAACAACATCGAGTGTTACTATTATCCAATCAGTCATTTTCCACTACTAATTACAGATTAGAATTTTTTTTCAAGTAATTTAAATGAGACAATTAGTAAACTATTCCTCGAAGTGACGGAACCTCTACATGTATCATCGGTAGCCAACTACATTTACATAGACAACCAGTAAGTCCTTCTATGTCTGTTCCATCTAAAGCTTATGACACTGACCTGTCTTCTATGATGATTTCACTCGAATCCATAACTGTGCACCTCGTTAGCTCTTGGTTCGCGAGTCAGATAGCTACTGTGGCAGACAGCCAGGGTGGGCCTGAAAAAGTTTTTAGTACGTGCCTGCTATCCACTCTGAGATTTTTATGCCGCTGGTATATTGAACACTCCTTGGACGTGGCCCCGTCAACTGTAATAGATTATTATTCATATATTGTTGATTATTTGCCCAGCATGCAGCGGTGATGGACGAAGGGACAGCACGTTGCCTGGTCTTCCCATCCGCTAAGAGTGTTTAGCGTCAAAGAAGTTAGCTTGGGGGGGTACATGAAACTGCCCGGGAGCGCATGAGCACAATCGACGATCCGAATATCCAGAACCGAAAAACGATCTCCGCAAGGGTTCAATACACGAATGCGATAAGGGTGAACATTTGGGCGATGTCGTACGTGCCAAACGTAAAGGGCGCACATAACGCAAGTTGCTTGAATCGCCTGTCATCATACGGTCAAGAGGCTCTTTTCGACCTCCCTTGCCAGAAGCACATCCTTCCAGGAAAAAGGACCAGTACCATCTGGTATTAGCAGTACTGACTGCAATAGTGGTGCCTAGCTCTTCACGCCATTTCGTAGCCTGTACAGTCTGCTCGTCGTGGCCTAACAGTAGCTAAGTGTGCTAACGGGTTTGCTGCTTCAACAATAACAGCTTTGCCGTTGCACACCAAAAGGGAAAATGAGAGGATCGGCCCCACTTGGGGGAGTGGGATCCCCGCTGACTACGCCTGTAGCCGATCGTATTAGTTCATACGGTCTGTAGTGTAATTTTAAGTATAAGTGGCACCCAGAGGCAAATGTTACGAATAGCCCGCAGCCATTATCAATCGTGTATCTCTTTTGTAGAAATTTCTATTGCTGTTGTGCTTTAACTTATCACAAACCAGTCCGGTAGGTCCCTCCCTGAATTTCGTTCTAGTCCTTGGCAGGTTCACATAGAGACTGGTTCCTATGATTCCTAAAGCATCGTAGATTCTATTGAAAGAAGAGTGGCAAGCTAAATGCTGACTCAGGCGCCGATTTGTCATTGGCAGTTATGCACGTAGGCCAAAAATCGATAACGGATTACTTTTCTAGAATCCTAAACAAATTTCACGCTATTGCGAGTACCGGGAAAACACTGAATGGATCAAGTATCTTTCTTTTAGAAGAGGCGGGTTGGTTCGATCGCCTGGAATATCATATTCTCAACGCATTTGCTAGATGTCATGGCCTATAGTTCTATAATGCCCTGTTCACTGCCCCTGCCACTAAACTGCGCATAGAGCTTTAGGTAGAAATGTTATGTCTCTATTTTAGAAAGGACTTTTTGAATGCCGACGCAACACTTGTTATCAATTATTGTTATTGTTATTTCTATAGAATTGAGAGGATGCTGACATCGCGCGCCATCATCGGCCACACGAAGTCGATATTCACCCACGTGACGTTACGAGGCTAGTGAAGACTATTAAATGAAGCGTTGAAAATGGCTTAAGAGTTAGTTACTGTCTCATATGTAATTGTTTATTGTACGATCGAACTTCATACATCTAGACACTTCACCACTTAGTATATACTTCATCTGTCGACACAGACCTCGTTATGGAGATGGCCGATTTGCAATTTCTGTTTAATTACACATTCCTCATTTTATTCAGTGGTATTATATAGCTACTGGGATATAGGATAGTTGATATTTCCTTTTCGTAGATATATCTGCGTACACATATTGCGCTTCTCTTGTCTATTAGTTAATATGATGTCCTCGTGAAGAACAGTTTAAGATACCGGTGGCATATAACGCAGGTGCACCAACGTTTACCAGTGAGTCCTATAAGACACGGAAACTGTTTGAGAGATTCTTGGTAAGCCAAGCATGCTTACTTTAATCGAATAAGACAGAGTTTTTCTAACATAGTCCCAGGCGCAAGCATCTTCAATCTGGCCATGCTAAGGAATCAATTTCAGATTTAAAAAAGAGGTACGTTTTTCTTGCTGCCAGAGCATACCCGTCAAATGGTACGAAATTAATTTTCATCCGTTCAACGAGCTGCTTTTTTAGAAAATCATATTGAAACTTGTCAACATTGATTCCACTACCGAAAATGTTTTTAGTGGAGTTAATAGAAAAAAAAAACACGTTAAAAACTAAATTAAAAAATTGTTTTAAAAACGACCAACAAAGAACAATGAATCACGATAACAATGCTTTCATACATGACACATCTAAAAGATTTGGCTTTTGTTTGTCGTCACCCACCTGAGCCACCACCGCGCGTACGCATAAAGTGAGCAGGATTTTCTATTGCATATATATATATATATATATATATATATATATATATATAAATTGATGTTAATCTGAAAAAAATACTTCGAAAAAACTGACAATATAACCACTCAATATAAAAAGCTGTCTAAAAATTAAACAAAGGTAAACCTTTCCGCGAAAAAGACTGAAAAGAGCTCAATTTTGCAAACTGGGCCTAAAACCCAGTTCAGGTCCACTAGCTTTTCTGCCATAAAAAAATTAAATTTGATTAGCTATCCGTTATAGAAAAAGAATCAATTCTCTAGATCGTAGTCAAAGTAAATTTCAATCTTTTACTGAGCAAAATCTTCCCATACATTTACTGGGACCATCTCCAGGGTGGTTCTAGCGATTTTTGTGATCTATTGTGTGCAAAGGCTTTATTGAAATATTAGCTTGACAAAAAGGACAAAGGGCCAAAAAGGACTGGAAATATGGACGGAGGAGGTGGCAAGCATCGTCCCTTTTGAAGTTAATAAAATACCTTTCGCCCATTTCAAGCTAGAAAGTTTTGTGGTGAAAAATGTCCCATAGGAATGCTGCGGAACTTTTCTACGGTTTATTTGTGACACGTGTTTCAAAGACGTATAAAGGAAGTAGAACGATTTAATTATATTGTATGTAGAAGCCATACGTTAAGATGAGCAGTCTTTAAGGTCAGATATGTGTGGCAGTTAGCTATACTCTTTTGGATATGTTCGAAACGTTTTCTCATAGATAAGTAAAACAACTATTCGATTTCGTGTACTTTCAGACGCTTCCTCTAACGTTTGCTAATGGATTGTTTGCGACCAGCAAAATTGCAGATTCATTATTTTTGCAGGTAGTAATAAGTTACGATACCAGCACTATCTCCTACGCCGTACACAATATTGATATTGCTTTGTCAAAGGATGAAACTTTCTGACGCGGACCATATTCAAATGTGATACGGATTATGTGTAAGGTGGAAGTAATCTTCCCTTGCCTTATCCTCTCCTGTAGATCTGCAGAGGCCTCCTAATTCGCTATTCAAAATAACATAAATTGCAGATATTTACTTGAAAACAATGTTTTTTTTTTTTTTTTCCTTTAGATATCGTTTAATTTGTGGACTTTTGTTTCTTGTACAAAAATTAATGATGATCCTAATGACCTATTATCGCACCACTGTCTTGATTGCAATTTTATCTTATGGGTGAATTAATTAATGTTTTATAATTTCCGCCGTCCGTGTAGAAAACGTATGGATTTCTTTAATGCTCTTAGATATTCTTATATAAATTTCGAATCATATTGCAGATTGCCCTTTTTTTTTTTTTCACTCGAACCCAGGGCTTTTAGAGTTGAGACCAAGATACCTTATTTTTGTTCTCTTTCCCTCCATATTATACAGCAGCTGAACGTTGCTTGTAGATCAGCTTTTCTGAATTGTATAATTAGTATAATATCGTTTTTAACTGTAATAGAAAAATCGATAGGAACTACTATATTTGAATTAATTGAAATCATATGAAGCAAGTTCAAGCCGTGGCGTTTTCTGTACTGAGGAAGTTTGGAGCGTTGTTGGCCAACTTTAAGTTATCAGGCTATCGGAACTGTTTTGTTGATTGCCGGATATCATTTGAAAAATACAATAGTAGTAGTTCAGCCCCGACGAGTTTGGAGCGCCATTTATAGGGAACAAATAAAATAAGTTATATTAAACACTGTTATAATAATTACACTCCTAAAAGTAGTAGTAAACTATGTTTTTTTTTTCTTTTTGCTAAAAACGAATTCAGGATTCAAGGACAAGGATATCTACAAACTGCTTCCAAGGGCAAATACAAAAGCCTGGCGACGTCAATAATCTGAGAGATAAGCATTTCGACCCCATATCAAAAGCATATCAAGACACACCACAGCTCCCCGGATATCGAATTGGAGCTTCCGTTTCCGGGGCCGTCTAACTTCCCAGACTCTGATACCATAACCCTTATATTATAAACAACGACTCTTTTTACGTGTTCGAACTATATATGTTTCCTTAGACGCTACTATAGCAAGCGTACGTTTTAAGGAACAATTACGAAACTTACTTTCGGGCTTTTCGTTGTAAGAAATAGCTTTGAACAAAAACCGCTCCTACGAAAATTAACTGAGAGCGTCACAAGGCCAAGCATTACACCGATACAACCTTTGGGTACCATAGGTCTCTTTCAACGCTCGCGAATAGGCAACACATCTCCCTAACCAACTGTTATTGAAATTAGCTGGTGACGACGATTGGTTTGCACTACGAATAGGCATCTAAATTAGGCGTTGCCTGACTCAGACAGCGCATTGCATGAGCGATCAGCTGGTTCTCGATTGTAGTACTACGTCGTGCGCGTGCAGTGCCAACAGTTGTCCTGCTCACCTGATAAGCGTGAGACATGACCGAGGTTCGTACTGAATAAGCGACACGTTTCGATTTTTCAGTAGCACGGATCCAAACAATGGGAACAGCGATGTATATTTTCATTCGTATTAGCGTACGATTTTCTTCTATTTTTCCTACTGAGTTACATTTTCAGCGGGTCCTAAAGCTAACGCTACTCAGCTGTCCCGAGGTCCGTCATAGAATGAGCAGCCGAATGTCGGCTATTGAAGAAAAAAAAAAAAGGGATTAACTAAAGACGAAGCCAAAAAGCAAACTTTTGATACCCTGCGTCCAATACAATAATTCCTTCACAAAATACGAATGTGTTCTGTGGTGATCAAATATTGCCGCGTGTCTTACCTAACGACTCCACATATGATATTGGCTACATGTATCACTAACACTCACTACACTGAGCCCGGGCGTCGTTCGCATTTTGCTTCTTGGTCACGGCCGGCATTGCCGTGTTAACATTGTTATAGATGGTTACATACGTCGTCCGATGTTTCTGATCTGTCCTCGGATCTCTCAGCAGGGCCGAGGACACAGCGTGGATATTGTTGATGTTTTCGTGTTTCCGGCGCTAGTCAGAGGATCAACCCGGTTTCTCGCACGCGAAGCTCAAAGGCGCTCAATCCACTGTGACAGGCTGCGCAGGGGATTAACCACAAACACATACGATGTCCTTTGCCATACTATTTTGCCTGTGTAAAGAGGCAACGCTAGAACCCACACCCAACAGATACCCCACGCTCTGCGCTTGCCGCTACAGACTTTTGAGGCTGGGTTTCCTCAACGCTCAATGCACGACTAGAAAGCCGTCGGAACAATATCGCGGCAGTATGTGCAGTAGCTCTAGTCTCTGCCGGGGGATTCTAGAGCTGATAGAAGCTGCTGCTGCTGCTGCTACTACTGCTACTGCTACTGCTGTTGGTGGTGGTGGTGAAGCAAAGGCACTTATGAAGAGTACAGCTCACAATGATCACTTAAACCAAGTAGCGGCAAGCCACGGCAAGCATGTAAAGATCGAGCCTTTGGGCCCATTGCCTGTCGCTGAGCAGACTCTAATACATAAAGAACGCCGGCTGTGTGACGTCGGTTCCTCTATGGATGCGTGTCGGTGCGCTGGTCCATCGGTCGACGAGAGCCATTCAAGAAGACAGGCTTGCTGCCCAAATAGCCAACGGACGGAAGAGTCTGCCGCCGAACTCGCACGAGAGTACCCGCGATCAGCTGCAAAACTGAGAGAGTAAGAAGGACTGGCGAGGGGACGAACAACGTGTCGAGTAAGAGACGAAGCGGCCAACGTTCGACCTGCGCTGGCCGTAGCTGGGCGATGCTGCGACTGGCCAAACGAAAGAAAAAAACGCATCGACTATAATAACGCTGTCAGTATTAGCGTACACTAGCGGAAACGTGGAAAACAATCAATGACTAGCCTACTTGGTCCGCGCGGATTTTAATGGATAGTTCTCGTCATGCTGGTGGTGACTTCAATGATGATGAGGTGAGGGAGGCTGGCTGATGGGGCGAAGGGATTGCCAAATAAATAGGAAACGCTGGCGCCCTCTTTGGCATACGAAGTAAGCTTGCGCGGATAATCTACAAACTCAATTATAATAAGAGCTGATTCAAGTTCGATTATAGCAATTGAAAGGAAAATGAGACTAGAGAGTCATTTATATGCAAAAATTTAACAATGTACACATTGTAAAAAATAACTAGGTTAAAAGTAAGTAAAAATTCGGGCAATTTTTCTCCATTATGTACGTCACAATTAAACGAGCATACCTCTTCCGTTTGGAAACGTTTTCCAGTTCTTCTGTTAAACCGATCGCGGTAACGATGCAATCCTAGACAGTTCTAAAGGGTTAGACATAACCCATAAAGTGACCAATAAGAGGTGCTATCCGCTGGATAATTGAATTAAAATACTACAAGTAAAATAACGGCAAAACAAATACCTTTCACTATCTACTAACTGTAACATTTGCATTAGTGCATGTGAATTTATAAAAAGTTACACGTTTGCGTCTGTCGAAAGTCAGGCCGAAAATATACACCCTTAAGGTTATCGGATTTGGCCGCTTTTTGCTATGTAAGGCAAGTACTTCTTTCCTTAGAAAAACGGTCGCAGACTGACGTTAGCAGTATTTCGTTTCTCTTTCGATTCTTCTCACTTAAGAACAACACGCCACCACCGTTAAGGTACACGAAGACAACCTTCAGCGTCGTCCGCGCTGATACGTCTCCAAATGGTACAAATGTACATTTCCGAATGTATAGGAAATTATTGGGTTAATTTCGACACGACGATCAGGTTTAATCGGTGCGGAGCGAGGCCTACAGGTGGCACTCCAGTCGAGTTATTGCAATCGTACGGCCAGCAGTATAAATCTAATATCCTTCCACAATATCAACGGGATACGTTTGGTACTATCTTTGAGTGTTTCTCGGACCGAATTTATGCCGAAAGTCAATTGAATAACTTAAAGTGCCTTGTAGAATTGCTTTTCGTGAAAAAAAATCTTCATCGATGTAAATATATTGTTATAAAAAAATTAATAACAATAAGTTTCAATAACGTCCCAAAAGCCAATCGAGACAAGTTCAAACATTTGAATTCATATTCAATATATTGTGAGTAGCTGTTTGTTAACGCGACATATGAAAACATAAATATACATCAATATAAATGTATAAAATTTAAGAAAATGTATATGGTATTGTCGTTAGAGCTTAATATGTTCAATTACTCATTAAAAAAAAGAAGGACGAACACTTTTACACCTTAGCGATGTCTCGGAAGCAAAGTCAATCTTCATTTAAAACACATTAAATCAAAAAGAAGATTAAAGAACAAGCCTTGATGACATTTGAAAACCAAAATTAATACGTTAACCGACTCTGTCAATCGCCATGGTTGAAGGTCGCTTGAATTGCGTGCGGCCATCAATCCATGTCATTCACGTACGTCTCAGGAACAGTCAATTAGCTAACATGATGACCTTATTGAAAAGTCACCAAAAGCCAATATATAGGTCTCTGACGAACATATTACAACCGCAAATAGGTCGGACAGGGTAATTGCAACGAGTCGATTTATGTTAGGCGTATATTAGGTAATTCTTTGAATTCTACAATGCAAGGCGTAGCCCGCCGGCTTAAATATATATAGATGATAATGAAAACAAGCGAACTTTGCTCTAAAAAAAAACAGCATTAGAACGCAAGTGCCTATCTAGAAAGATTTCTGCATTCTACGTATGTTGACACTCACAACTAGAATTAAATACTCCGAATTTGACGTTAGCCAGTGCAGCAGACGCGTAACTTCCACCAGGAAACGAAGCGTGTGCCGGGCTTCGAACCCAGATCACCACGTGACTCAACGCTTCAAACGTAAACACGTTAACCACGATGCTTTCTCGGGGCGATGTTTGCACCTGGGCCTGTCGGACACAGCTGTCACATAATTAGAAGAAAGCGGAGAAGGGACAGATATAGACCCTCAGGTTTCTCACATGAGTCAGAGTCCTTGTGAGCCCGTCAGAGGCCAAAGGTCAGCATTGTTGTGAACAGTTTTTCCTCTGGAAGTCGGTATCGGTAGTTGAAACCAATGGATTTCCGGTGCAAAATTGATACGGCTTGTTCATAGTCTTCATGTTTAGATCATGCTTACGACAAATTTTCCCTAATAGACGCCATTTGTCAAGTACATTTGCTCGGTTCATAGTATCAATAATACTCATTGAGCTAGTTTCATCCCTTGCTGATATATTGCTTGCACAAACAGCAAGTGAACTAAAAGGTGCCATTGGCAGACCAGCTTCAGTCTAATGAATCAGTCGGCACTTCGTCACGGGACACATAGATTTCATCTGAAAAAACTGATCAAACTACGTATTGAAGCTAAAGTGGGATATATGTCTGAAGCCAGTATTTTGTCTAAGATAAAATCTAGTTATTTACTATAGTGGCTATTTTAATAATTACCGAGTTCTACGGAGCCGGTTATCGGGAAAAGCATTTGGATTTTTTTTCTGCCAGAACTGCGTTAGCATCGCATCGGACGGCTGCCCTATGTAGCACCAGGCCAAACGTGTCCACGTCGAATTATACATATAAAAGTCATATTTTTCCTATTTAACCAGGTAAATTCTAGTGTGCCAAATAATAAAATTAGCTATGTGAATAGATTTAAAGTTACATTGCATTGTTTTTGTTGTTGTTGCTTCTTTTTTTGTTTTATGATACTCGAAGGAGGAATCGGGTGAGTAAATGAAAGAGGAGCTTCGAGCTTAGAGATGTACGCGACTCTTCAAAAAATAGCGAACAGTCCGAACTTGAGTGGTCGCTGTTAGGTGATACCTAAGTTATAAGTCAGGGGTCTGTCATACATCCTAAAGTTCACTACTTGTCTAATCCAAGGAGTTTTCCTCTGTTCTGGATACAGATTAAGCTATACCAAATTCAAAAATAAGCCAAGAATATTACGATTCTCATATTTAAGTTTAAGTAACGAGCAACTCTTTCCTATAAATCATTGAATTGCTTTACAAAGCACTTAATTTAGTAGCAATAACAATTCTGATACAGCCTATCCAGCATCCTTCCTTTACTTGCGTCACAAAAACGAAGTTATCGACTATACAGCTGATAAAGCTCAATATGGTAGATTCGCAACAAAGGTATTGTTGAATGCGAACAACAGGCTACAAACGACAGTACATTAATGTAAATCTAAGGACCTCTAGCACGTTATTATACCAGATGAAAAGATGCAGGACGGACACACATGCAAGCTACGATATTTTGGCCTTAAAACTACCAACGATGTTCCCCCGGTCTTAGTTAACCCAATCAGGAATCTTCTCGCATACTGCAAATATAGATTACGAATGCTCTATGTATGGTATAAATTGTGCAAATGCAAAGTACGCAATGAGCTTGCGCTTCTCTTGCAATTTTTAAGTGATTTTCGAATACGGATAAGCCACGTAGAGCATGAACTCAGGACACAGTACGACTTCGTTCGTCCGTTCGACTATCTTAGAGATGAATTAAACCTTTACTGGGAGGCAATGATGTTCTACATGCAACAAAAGCTTAACGAGCTGAGAAGCTTCTGTGATGAGTTTGCCTATATGTATTACTACAGGAATCAGGCTGTGCCTTACGCGACTACCTGTCCACGTCTGTGTCAACATTGCCATGAGCAAGTACGCTGTGCATACAATACATGGTAACGTCGATGAAAATTTGGTGCTGACAGAGTTTCGACGGGAAACGTGAGCGGGTCTGTGCGATGTTTTTGGTGCTCACCAGCGCTCTCTTGAGGGGGGGAAACCGCGAGGCGCGCTTAATGCCAACTGGATCTTTTCATATTGGAATCTTTGCTGGGTTTAGCAGGATGTAGGAGAATTTCAATAAATATGTGACTGATACGGTGCGCAAGTCTATTCTAGAAGTAGTCCTTTTTGCCCCGATCATACGACTTGTAGGTGTGGTACAAAAGTTGTATTGGGTTATTCAACTTTCAGGGCTTGAAATCTTATTAGGCCAAGATGAAAGAGGTATGCTCAAACCTATCAGCAAAGCAGATTGAATTAGTTTCATACTTGCAATTTGTGTCTTCAATCGCAGCCCTAATCGTCAGTTATCGTTTGTTTGTCGTTATATAACTGCTGCGGTAAACTTATTGCACATAGCAACTACCAGGGTTAATGTTGTTGCTCTGTCTATAGTTTTATTGCGATGAAGGCATACAGCATGACAGGTCCGCCGTTTCGATCGACCTCAGCTTCTACTACAAGCCTATCCTATAAACCCAAATAACAGGAGTTGTGCTTGTCATAAACTATCTTGTTAATTTGACGTGTGACATAAAACGCTGTCGATGCAAGAAGCTTATTGTTGAATTGTTCAATTATTACCTTACGAATTGATTCTTTCAACGGAAAACTATTTTACAAGAGATAAAAAAAAAAAAAGGCTGTATAATGAAACGGAAGGAAGGTGAAGGAGCCAAACGAGCAGCCCGCACGTATTGCGCGGTGATTATGACGAGAAAAGCAGCAAACGTAACGACCGTACACGATCCTGAACTGATGTTTTCTTTCTTTGATAAATTACTTGGGTTTCAAACATTAACTTATTCCTTAGAATGTCTCAGAGACAAATATTAGGAATACGTGGTGGTGTAGATTCAAATATGGGTGTAGACATACATAGGAGAACATATAGATGGCGCTTCCTAATGTAATAGAACGAGAAACTTACGCTAAAAAAATAGGCCTCTAGTGCCTGTACGTGGGTTAGGGCAAAACTGTCGTCGGGTAACGTGTTCTGGCTTTCCAAAATGACCGATCAACTCCTCTAGGTGTAACCAGCCGCCCAATTCGATAAGCCTGAAGCGTTCTTTTTTTTTTGTCTACGAGGTCGGTAATAACTGACTGCCTGAACAAAAATAGCTCGTTCTAATCCAAAGCGGTCATGAATGAACGTTTGCAGTGAAGTATTAGCAAACTATAAGTTGATGTTATATATATTCTCTTGATTGTACCATATCATCAAATTATGAAATATACATGTACTAATGTTGTGCCCCATAAGGACATTGACATATATTACTATGATTAGGTAATATATTCGTTCATGTTATTCTTCTGTAGTTCTGGTATACATATTTGGGTAATTGCTAGAAACGTAGTCGTCTAACAAATTCGAGACGGGAGATATAGCTCAGATTTTTCGAAATACCCGCATCCAGTGGCGTACGCTATCTAGCATTGAGTGAAGACCCATAATGGTCTACCAAAAGCGAGCTTGTGAATACGCTCCAACGTTATCGCCTTGAAATCTGCCTTCTGTTGCTGGCGCCATCTGGTGTCAAACGCGCAGAGAAGGATTGTCGCTGTGTAAGCTTATCCGGTTAGTGTCCCCCCCCCCCGTAAAAGGTCGGCCTTTCACCGCGCCTAAAAATGAGTTGAAACGCTCTTTCCACAAACAGAACCTCCTTCACTGTGGTAGGTCATACGGTTGTTTCATCTGTTGTGATCTTTGCTTACCAAAGGTAGTGCAGTAACTCTCATTTCACTTCGAGTGGGTCGAGTCGGACAAATCGCAGTGCAAAAAATATGGCCACCACGCTGGCACAGGCGAAAACTGCCCTTAGGCGTACGATTAAGGCGAAACTTAAGGCTCTCGACGCGGCTGATATTGCAGCACAGTCCCAGATTGTGATAGAGAAGCTAAGAGCATTGGAAGCATTTCAAAGAGCTCGAAGGTAAGTTGACTGCTCTGTTTTTGCATATTTTAGGGCCTCGTGGACACTAGCGATTGCAAACAAATGGATAACACTAATTATCAAACGTAAACATTTTCAAAATGATCGCGCTGACTGTTCGGCTATAGTTCGTGCGTTAGAGTAGAGATTCTTTTCCATCTTCCTTAACTGTAATCTAGTACGTCTTTATCTCTTTAGCATTGCACGGGATTTCACAAGTGTGCGCGTAAGATGAGGATAGTCTTGTAAATAATTACAAAGGATTGGTTTAGATAGATATACGCAATGCAAATGGCGTAGTAAAGAAGAGCAGTAAATATTGTGGCTCTACAGCCTTAGAAAGTAGAAACTTAGTTTGTGTTTATATATATATATATATATATATATATATATATATATATATATATATATATATAGAGGCATTTACTTCCTATACGCTGTGTACCGTACACAAAGTCATTCGGATTCAATTAAAACATTAATAAATTGTTTTTCGTCAGCATGGGGCATGTGGCATAGCATGATATGCCTTGGTCGATTGTTGATGAAAGATAAATGAGTAGTTAGCTAGAACAAAGCGAATTCTAAATGTCGCTATGGCATACTTTATGCCACCTTTGTTTGCAGCGTGTCAATATTTGTAAGCCTACCGCATGAGGTCGAGACTAGAGGCATCATTCGTGAGATGCTGAGAACCGGCAAGCGCGTCTTTCTTCCTCGCTACAGGTAAGTGATACCTATAATGGTGCTATTCCCATATGTTGCATTTGTTTCTATGCCAAGAAAGGCACTGCTCCCTATGTTGAATACGCTATTGCAAAGTGATACATGCTTTCACGTTCCATGCATCCCATGTCATCGATGACCGATATTCATTGGACCGCCATTTATATTTTTACGATGATTATCCAGTTAAAGTGGTACCGTTGATCGACAACTAGTCCTTTGTTTATAAGGTTGCATCGTTGAGGTCCGAAACGTTATTGTCTATACTTGATTTCCAAGCAAGTGGTATTTCGTTGTTGCTTGCATCTACCTTAAACATGCGAGGCCTTCTCCAAATGAAGTCTAAAAGACGAAACGACGAAAATTGGACGAAAAGAAAATACATTACGCTTTAAAACCAAACGAACGTAAAAACGCATCTACGACATGACTACAGAGAAGTATCCACGCTTTTCTTTTCAAGCATATCGCTCGTGTCCGCTTCGATTTAACGAAAACTATCTCCAAGCAATTTACATTTGTCGTACTCGTAACCAATATGTCGATGATTATCATAGGGCTGTTCTTGATGAGTCGTAGTCCCATATCTTGAAACAATAAATTTCGACACTTCGATTTTTGCTACCTCGATTCTGGCTCTTGATTCTATCCTCTGGCAAATGTCCGCGTTGCTTTCTGTTTCTACAATGAATACATTTAACACTGTAATATCGAATAAATAACTGCTTTTTATTAAATAAGTTTGTTGTTGATAAACATATAAATAGAACATCTGTGTTATCTATATAAAAATAATTTGATGCGTTATCTGTAACATAGTTTTAGATGACGCTACTCCTATATGGCCCACCATCATGCACACCTATTGTCCAATACCGCCGATGCTATGAACGTACGTACAGCAGTACGTTTCCGTGATAAGTTACACATATTAAATATTTATATTGTACATTCATGTTATGATCAGCGGCTATTCCTGCTTTGTTTTCGCCTACCATTTGTCGTCGCTTCAATCCTAACGTATAATAAATCAGCACCTCACCGCATATATGTGCATATAGTTGAACATCGATTCATTAATATACAACATAAATGATCGTTTTTATTTTACACTTAACACAATTCGATGCTTGACAGCGGAACTTGACGTAGCTCAGTGCGTTCATGTTTATATCTCCGTTGTTAAATCATATGTGTACACTGTCGTTGAGAGCAGTACCCGAAGGAGTACCTAGGAGGATAACGAAGCGCATAAGTAGACCTAAAAAGTTGTCCAATTGGGAATACATCGTTTTTCTTTAGGACAATTTTCTAATCTGGCATTATAATGTATGTCTTACGACTCGTTGTTGAATGTTGGGGCGCTGGTCAAATAACTTCGAAAAAACATGGCAACTTGAAAGTGAGTCTACCTATCCGAACGTGCGGAGGTTTTCCATTTTCGTATCACCGTCGACTATATGGCGAGAATCGACCTGAAATAGACAAAGGATATGCGCAAAAAATTACGTGGTGCTTCCGTGCTGCATCTCGCATTGGAACAACTTATTACAAAGCTTAACTAAGCATGTTCGTTGATAGCTTTCAGTACCTTAACGGTGTCCATATGTTATATTTCAGTAACGAATCTCTCATACCGGTCGAATCTTTATATTCCTCCTACACAACACTGCTTTGATGGCTGCAAAGTGTCATAATGCTTTGAAAAAGACGTTAATAAAGTATATACACCTCTTGGCCTACTTTTTTACTCGACATGTCAATACCTGTAGGCAAATTGCGGCCATAAGCTGACAGAAGGCTCCAACTACGGCACTTGCGTATGACCACGACAGGTAGTTATGAAGCGGATCTGGCATCCAGCCATCCTGATTTGCGTGTGCGCCGAATACCGCTACCGCTAAAAAAAGTATATGAAAGACATTTCTAACGCTATTCATCAATCGAACGAATAAACAACAGGCCCGACTCTTTTTATTTGCTAGCGGCCATATCTGGGCAGAAAGCGTTGACGGGGACTAGCGTCAGTCCCCAGATCCAACTGTCCGATCTGTGTGACTGGGTTCCACACAATAGCCTATATGTCTATTTGCACAGTTATCCCAGAATGGACACTGAAATACTTGGCGGAGTTTAGGCTGAAAATAGCACCGCTATCGATGGCTGTCTTTTAGCGAATTAATCAATAATGTTTTTCCCTTATTGGTAATCGGCACTAAGATCGCAGTAGGGAGTTATATTCTTGGTTAGTTATCGATTGGATAAAGTATCACAGTTAACTCAGATCTAAGGTAGTAAATCGCCGTGCATGTTGGCACTGTCCGGTGACACCCATGTTACTATCTAAGACGTCTCAAGAACACTCTCTTTCTTCTATTTATTTACTGGATAAAGCCACGATTTCTGCTCCATGATGGCTGTGAAAACACTAAACACCTAAAAACATTTTTTCTTGGTTGTCTGCTCAGGCTGGACTGCTGTATCATCTTGCAGACTAACGCTGTTAAACACTCCGCCTCCAAAATTAAATGAAACCCGCATTAATTTTCCATCTCGCATAGGGAGCACCTTATACCACAAGAACCACTCTAAGTGCCATTGCTACATATCTGTATAATTAGTTGTGCGATACGCCAATGTCAGATGATTTTTTTTCTGTCACCTGGATAGGCCTAAATTATCTGTGTTACGCAAGAAAAGGTGATGCCAAGTTACATTGACACTGTACCCTATTTGAGTAACTTGAGTTCCGAAAAGCCCTGACAACTATAGACGATTCATATGATTGTATTTATGTACTGCTAGCTGTAGCTGCTGATTTCTACTACTTACCGATGGTAGAGCAGAGAAAAGCGAACGTCAGGAGAATATTGCAGTACCGAATAATTCTCCGCTCCATCGTCTGGTCAAAGCAAACGTAGATAGAGATCAAGCCGATCGAGGCAATTAGCTGTGCCGTGAAGGCGAACGTATAGAACACCTGCGACGACGATAGCCCACGTAGGAATACACGCGGAAACGTTTTCAATATGGAAAATGACATTTAGATCCCGTTATTATTTAATGATAATAAATGCAATGATGATATCGTTACAAGCAATCGTGTTCAACAAACAATTCATAGAAAAGACCTTTATCATTAAGGAATAACACTTGCCTTGAAGACCTTTAGAGAAGTTTAGCCAAGGACAAACGCATCGTGCGATATCACACACTGAAGATACCGAATTCTAGCAGAGCATATTGAAAGTACTCAAAATGCTTTGTTTGACATCGTTCCTTAAGCGTACCTAGCAACTTCTTATCGATAAGTTCAACATCGTAAAAGTGGTGCCTGCGTAGAAGTCAATGGGCACGTATAGGCAAAAGCAGGGAATTTTTATTTTGGGAAATACCTACCTTACGATTCTGTACGATAGATTTCTTACAGTATTGAATATGGCAGCGTGGATTTTTAAGCTGTAGAAAATTTTTAGAGACGTGCTCAACTATACAACCGCTGGCCAGTTTAGCGGACACGATCCTATATCGTGAATCGCCAAGAAAGATGAGGTACCCATACCTAAACAATAAAACTACCAAAGGCGAATTCCGTAGACACTTCCGCCAAAAATTTCAACTACGACCACTGAAAATATACTTTAATCTCTATGACTTTTCTTCTTCAATTGTATGCTTTCACTCCGAATAGATTTTTGAATGTCTTGCGTAATGTCTTTCCTCGCTGTGTATTTCGTATAGGCGGATTGCGGAAACTAACGCATCTGAGGTGCTAATGTTACTCTCGGAACAGCTCAGTCTAACAGATATATTCGAATATGTCACAGAACAAACAGGAAATTATTTATTCAGTAATCCATACGTGCGGAACTTTACCGTCGTGAGTCGTACGCCACAATGCCCCCTCGTGAACTTTAAACCTCTATAGATCTATTGGCTGCTATTCACAGTTCATTATTCAAGATAGAAACAACTTCGAAACGTAACGGTTTAAGGAACGAACTGTTCAGGGATAAGGGTAGTAGTTAATTGGTGATGATTTCCAGTGCGCTTCATGCCTAAACAGACAAATTTAAATGATCAGAATTCGTACTTCTAGAGTAAAATTGATATATATCCTATAGAATCTACCCTGTCTTCGATCGTAGTAGCCGCCACGACGACTGGAAGCTCGACACTCACGTAAGGGACCATCAGATTCATGATAATGGAACAATAGCCGGAGCTTTGCAAAATAAAGAAAGTTACGATGACAAGAACACCAATAACCAAACTTCCAAGTTCACTCACAATCCAAATAAAAGTTTTACAATTTCTCAAGATATGAACTAGTTATAATAACTATGATTGATAATTTGTCTAATAATAACGCATATGTTAGATACACTATCCTATACGATATCCAAGCTAAGACCCTATCAGAAAAGCGTTATGGCTATTGGCTAGTGTGAATAACTAGGAACAAAATAATCCTTCCAAGATATTCAACAAAATACCTATTCGGACAAAAACGATCCTATTTATAGGAACGTGCACGCTTCGACCACAATTTACGTATACACAAAGATAACTTTAAGCGTTTCTGTTTACGGTCGGATCTTCTTGTGCACTGAATAGAGTAGGCGGACGCGTCGGCAACTCGACGCTGGGATGACTCCAGTTTGGGCATAGATATACTGACGCGGTCTTGTATTTGTAATTTGTTAATAAAGTAAGTGAAACATAAAATCTTTAAGAGTTCAAAAATTGTCAAAAGCTAAGTTATTACATAGCTATCACTGACGTAATTCATATCGTATTCATGTCAATTACCTTTAACTCCACTACGGTTTGTTGCCAATCAGGTCAACATATGCCCCCGCAGCCACAGAGATTTCGCCCACATTGAAGTAGATTAGCCTAGAGCTATCTGAATGCATTTAGAAGAACATACCGAGTACGTAAGCGGCAACCTTACGAATGTATCGCGATATTTTCGATGAAGAAAAAAAAGCTGCATTGTTTATCGTGCCCAAGTTCGGTATAGTTCCCGGCATTTGTCGGAGAGAACAAGTCTGAATAGAAGAAGGCAAACGGTTGACGCACATAATAGAGCCGGCGACAACTCAGAATGCATCACGCTAACTTCGATTGCAAAACATCGTCTGATTGAACTTGTGCACAAAGGACGCGTCTTCTGAATCGCATGTCGAGACGGGCTGTGAAAGCTGATTGAGGAAAGCCGAATGAAATTACCGGTTTTAATAGAAACAACAAATTACTTTGAGCCTGACAGTCTGCGCTAAAAGTATATCTGTCCTCCCACATGACACGCGACAACGTCAGACATATATTGAAACCAACAGAAATCGTCTAGTACGAAAGATTGTTAAGTAGTATTAGAAATTATGTGCCAGACCATGAAACATACGAAGAGCAAACCTTGGCACTACTTTGGGTCATTCCCCACAAAAACAGTGAAGCAACGTCTAGGTTCCCGCGCGTATGCTAAGCATGTAAGCACCTATGACCTCGCAGCAAGAGATCTACATCATTCCGTGGCACCCGCGTCAATGAAGATTGGCCAAAGCAACGAAGGCTCGTAAGGGAACAGTGGGCCGCAAAGAAGTGTAGCAATCATGTGATTTGTAGCTTCCCGTTCGAACAGGCCCGTTAGACATTTATTGACGGCCCGTATAAGACGGTCTTCGTAAACAACTCGGGCAGGTTCGTCAAGAGTCTCGATGTACAACGACAATTCAAAAAGACATAAAAAAATGTTTATTGCAGCTATATAGTACCCTACAAGATTAATAAATTCGACGAGTATGTATGGCTGAAAAGGTTACTCGAACACAAACTAAAGAAGACTAGGATTCAGCGAGTTAACTAAATCAAACGCGTGGGTGTGTGAAACAAAACGTCAGGAAATGATCTGGTCAACTCTGCTATTGACCGCGAAAGGCCTGGCGGGTTCAATAGCTCTATTTCTCATTCAAAAAAAAAAAAGACCGTATTGAAAAAATGTCAACATGGTTATGGGTCGAAGCAAGTAAATCTCGTCGACAGCTGCACTAACACAAGAAATCTCTTCGAAAGAACCATTTGCGTAGAAACGGTATCGTAGACGGTTGTCCATAGACCGATTCGACACTCAATGGCAAGGTAGAACTACGTGACATTCGATGGTAAATTCTGTATTGACGAAAATCGCTGAGGTAGCGCTATGCAGAAACAAGTTAGTCAGTAAAAACCGCCTATTGAGATCGATTTTCTACTTACAGCCGCTTGCCTAATTCGCTGCTGCGACGCAGAACCCCTACAGACAGATAGTTTGTTTTGTGTAATTATACCGACAAAGTCGAGCTCTTGTTGGGATGAAATCGTTGATCGCTATATGCACCCATGTGTTTCTTTGGTCAAAGCATTGAGCGCGATCTATCCCCCGTATCATTTGCCCACCGTCTCATTTATCCGTTAGTATAATTCGTGTACGTTTCGGGTAATCGAAATTCTCGTAAAGCTTTATTATTAAAGTACGGCTTTATATGTTAAGGCACCTACAAGCATATGCGTTGCCATAACCAGCCCACTTTTACTAGTGGCGATGCGTGTAGACATATTTGATCGATAGTAAATAACCATTTTACTTATTACAAATCGAACGGAATCTATCGAGGTTCATATAGAAGAGACAGATACCTTATTGACGGTATCTGTCTCTTCTAACAACGGGCCTCTGCTTAAATGTACATAATGTTCTTTGTCTTTCGTGATTTCTATACTGTTAAAACGATATTCGGCATAGTCGTGCTCGTTCATTCGTAGCGAAAATAACAATTTTTCGAATGAAAATTGGTATCCTTCGAGTTATCTCTTCAACTTTCGGCTATCCGGCTACGGGGTCGAAATCGAGATAACTACGTTATTTGAGGCATAAATTTTAAGATAACTTACTTGTGTCGACACGAAGAATGGTAATTCGAGGGTGTCTCGTAATCTATTGTATTCATACGTAAGAATCCAACGACAGCCCACGTAGAACTTGCGCTGCTCGAGATCATCGGGGCTGGAGTGCGATCTAAAACATGTTTCCCATAGACCCGTTCGGAGGAACTGGGCACTGCGGAATGCATAATAAAAAATGTTACCGGCCGTTCCACACAACATTTTGCAGTATTTCAACGACGATTACAATCATATTTTTGACCTAAGTACACGTTAGTTGGGTCATAATCATTACTGTAATTGGCCAAATCTAAAATTTAATCGGGGTATTCATAAAACTATTCTTCGCAGATTTCGGTCAAAGCCAGGGGCTTAAATGAAGCTCCACAGAATACACACACCTGTACGCCCGGAAGTCAGATTTGAGCCAGTAGGGAGTGACAAAGGCAAGGAACGTTGCAACAAAACCTACGTGAGCAAACATTATACCCCCCGCCCGACCATCTCGACATCCAAAGCATCCCATGACTCTATTCTTCAAAGTATTCTAATGTCTACGGCGTTATTCTTCGCCTAGCCGATTGTAAGGGGCAAACTTGTAGCTGCTTGAAATTTGGTAGAAACGGTCGATGCTCTCAGTTCCTTCAGACGTTACAAACGTGTCTTCGTTGATATCAGTGGCACTTGGTTGGTCAGAGCTTTCCGGGTGAGCTAAAAGGTCAGCTCGACGGTTGCAGCCGCAGTCGAGCTTGTGATAATACTTATGCCGATTCTAGTAAAGAGTAAAAAGTGGTCTGACGTCTTTCGAACAGAACAGTAAAATAGTTTTGATGAAGGATTATACGTGTTCCCTTAAAGTCCGGTGAGACGGTTTCAGTCGATACATTCGACCCTGACAAATGCTCCCAGATGCGTCAATGACGGATTGGTTGCTTCTTTACAGAAGTAAGGATTACAACAGAAGTTATTGCCAGTCTTCCACGTTGCGAAATGATGCTTTCAGTAGCTTCTCAGAGCATCCGACGTCCGACTGCTATTCGATTTGGGTTCATCTTTGTTAATCGTCCAGTTTAAGCAAAGAGGATCTATTAACAAGTGGTCTTTTTTTGCTCTGAAAATTCTACAAAGGACAATTTGATACGTTTCGGCCAAGTTTAACAGCTGGCTTCCGTCGGGCAATGCGTGCAGTATACTCACACTGCCCGTTACTCGACCGGTCTAAAAGTTTCGATAGTGGCCTGGTGACTTATCCTGTGGACACTTCCTTTCGGTTCATCAGTTGTACTCTAGTTGTTCGTAGAGTTTGGCCAATATTCCCTATCGTTTAAATGAACCAAGATCTTTTATCGCCGCGTATTTGGCATCCGGAAGTATTGACGGAAAAACATTTACACGTATAAACACACATGCACTGGCATTGTGGTTTGGCTCTTTAATTCGAATTGATAAAACTACATTAATAGGTCTCCAATAGAACATGCAAGCATCGATGTTCTGAATCCTGCAGAAGCACGTTTAGCTGCAAAATTATCTATTCTATCAATACTCGCTTCGACTGGCTTCAAGCAGCGATTTTCAAGCGCGTCGTCATCCTCAAATCACCCGATGCGTTTTTCGGTTCTCAGATAAAGGTTTACTTACTGAATCTGTAACCTTTTTCAGGTTTTGAAACAGAACGTTCTTCTATTTGACCTGATTGTTAATTAACCACTTTTCATTAAGGCAGCCTGCTCGCACACAACTTTCTTAGGTTTTTTTTTTCTACCTTTCGAATACAGCACGCCAATCACAACTCACGTACGATTGATGGCACGACACTTTTCCGGCACTGACTTTGGCTGTATCAGCTATACGAGCAGTAGCAGCAGCAGCCGAAGTCACCGCAACGCTTCAACGGTACAAACGTCAACACACGCACATATAGACAGCTCTTACTCGCGTTAGACGCTATATGTCGTTTCTCGGCAACTGTTGCGTCGGGTAGTTCAGTCAACGGCGAGTGCTAGAATGACGGGTCAGGTCTGATCCAAGCGCCCAGCTGCATCGGCTGACCGATGGCTTTACATTGCGCGTCCATCGACCGGAAGAGCTTAACTTGAACGTAAGGCGGATCCCTAGCAGCAACGCCCTATGCCGCCACAAATTTCGATCGGTGGACAAACGAACGAACAGATCGGCCGCTGTCGTCGTTGTCGCTGGCGCTTCTGTTACCGCTGCTGCTGTTCGTATCTTTGTCGTTGGATTCCGTTTGCGGCGACGCGGCGCTTGCCGCTGAGGTTGCCTTGGCAACCGAACGCCATTTCCACAACATCACTGTTAACTAGCATACATGTAGCAACAGTTGTAACTGTGATGGTTGAGAGTCTGGCACAGCTATCGCTCTGAGCTGCGGCCACTATACTTAGCTGTAGAGCAGAATCTGGCGACGTTTCACGTCGCTTGTGCATTTGCTATATCGCGGTGTGGCTCTCAGCCGCGGCCCCACGGTGTCAACGAATGACGCCGAGCCGACGGAGCGCCAACGTCGACGCCAAACAAATCTACCCTCTTTAATTAGCTATTTTTAACGTCCATTGTAACCTACAGTTATTACTGCAAGTATTCCACATGCGTATACGAAATGGTTGGGCAAAAATAGAAGCAAACCGCTTTACTTGCCCGATCTATTCTAAATTTGTAGTTCGTTACTGCATAGACTTTCCATGCGTCCACTCATAATGTGAATGTCTCTCTAACACCGAGCGCATAAGAGACCGCGCGCAGAGATCGCTAAGGAACGAGATCTTTGGGTTCCGTCGGATTACAATGTGCGGTGTCCTGACCTACAGTCTCTTCGCCGGGGCTCGTTGAAAGCCCGAATCTGATAACTCTCTGGGGGGGGGTGTTCGTTCCGAGCATTAACGAACGATTGCTGAGTTTCTCCGGTTACGACGTGACAACATATACACAAATATGTTAAGTGGTGATAACATGTAGCAACTGTATGTTTGATCGTGTTGTGCTGTTGTATGTCTGACTGATGCGTGCGTTTGTGGATCTGGAAAATCCGCAGATGGTCGTTCTGTTATTTTGTCTGGAAGTTTGTCTGGTTCAAGAGTAGCAGTTTGGTCGTGAATCTAATAAGTATCTAGGCATCCATTGACGGGAATAACGAGCACCCCAAACTCTATGTTGTTTAGCGCCTGGCCCTATTGACGGCGACAACAGAAACTAGATTCACAGAAAAAAGATCAAATGAGAGACGCCAAAAATGTTGTGATCTATATTTGCCATATTTTTGCACATATAGCGAAATAGCATTGTCCGTCCACAATTTTAATTCAATGTATATATATACGCATATGTATATACACACTTCTACCTTGTGCCTCGATCGACTGTATTTGTATATGGGCAGATGTGTTTATTCAGCAACGGTCTACGCTATACATACTCCGCTTATGATTGAATCATAGAGATAGCGAAATAGCGCCTTTTCAGCACAAAGGGCCGGACTTCGCAGAAGTCTCGCCGTGGTATTCTTCTTGCCGTATCGATACTGAGTCACAAATAGAGAATGCGGCTACGATGGCAAACGAAGCAACATTGTCCGAAACGGCAAAAACAGAAAGAGTTAAGTTGTGAGCAAATTTTACAGCCAACAGAAAAAGTCAACATGACATTTCTGCTGAAATATTCAGTACACTTTGTAGTATTAGCAGTTTACTTACAAGCAAGCCCAGTACAAGGCTATTACGAGTGCAATGAAGAACTAGTGTCTTCGTCGAAGCTGAGAGCTTCCTCCCAGCTTAATCTGGAGCGTGGCCCTGACAAAGCCGTAAGGGATAGCGGCAGTTCTTGGACAGCCGGAGTTTCTGATTTTGGACAATTTATCGAGGTAAGTGGATTGGTTACTCTTTTATGCTGTTATGTCATTTTCGTTTGATTGCAGTGTTGCTTGTGTACTTCTAATAGCAGGTAGAACTTTTGGTTAGAGGCAGAATTAAAAATAGAAGGATACGTATTATACATTACGTGACCGGTGAGCAGGGAATAGTATGCAATAGATCGCAATAAATACTCCGAAGATAAATATGTTGAAAGCATGTTGAAAACAAAGTTATTAGTTCTCATTGGTATTCTCTTTCTTTTTGTTTACTATTGTATATTACCGGTTTTGTTCGTTACTCGTTTGTACGAGTACGAACAAAAAACGAGCTGCTGCTGCTGCTGCTGCAGTCTCATTGGCGTATATTAAAAGCCTCCGTGGTATATACATTCAGACGAGTTTGAGTTCTGGGGTCCACTTCACATAAAAAAAAAGAAAGCATTAGTAGAATGAGGGGCGGTTCAGGTAGAAAATGTTTACTTTCGATCTTTTGACATCGGCATCCTTATTGGTTATGTAATAATAATAATACATTGGATTGAGCTTTTAGAGAAAACATACCTTCGCCTAGGACCCGTCAAATTACCAAAGTACCAATATTAGCAATTCAATTGCATAGCAGAAATCTATTGGAAACAAAGCCAGCTTAGTTTGGACTGTATAAGGAATGGTGTATTAAACTACCTAGTCCTATCAGCGGTGTAGACTGGGTAGACTATTTATTATGTGCGTATGCTGACAGAATATCACGTGCGTTCATAAAATAAGGGTTCCGTAAAGGTCGTGCCACACGGTAGATAAACAAGGATGCGTTAGATTTTTCCCAATGAAACGAACTGCGTCCTTTTACAGTTCTAAGCTCGTCTGTTAAATGTTAGATCACATTAATATAGTTGGATCTATATTGAAATAGGACTTCTTATAAGAAACAAAAATGTATGGCTTTAGGTCTAGCAAGCTTCACCTGATCAGTTTTTCCAGAACGCAAATTTTATCTTAATCTGGTATAATTTACACACAACCCTTCTCTGAACATACCGTCCTGTCAGTATCAGACTCTACTATGGGGTCGAAATTCAGTTTTACGTATAAAATTAAATTTCGATTGAAGAAAAATTGGATCTAGTTCAGGGCTGTCGGATATAGTTTCAGGTGAGGTAAGGCTATGCGCATTTATAAAATACATCCCATCGTGCCGCCTTTCTATATTATCATCATCTTTCATTTTAAGATAACTGTTAGTGAAGATGATAAAAATATAATGAATTTTATGCGCATGTATTTGCAGGTGGATATGAAAGAAATGAAAAGGGTCCATTATGTAGAGACCCTTGGAAAGCAGTATACCTCGGAATTTGTGCAAGAGTTTCGAATTTATTTCGGAAATAACGGCGGTGACTACCAAGTGAGTGCCCAACTGAGGCTTTGCCGAAGCTCTCTCGCTAGTAGCATCTCAAAAAAGCTTACGTGACTGTTTAGTCGGCCAGATTGTTCCTTTGACGGCCCGTGGCTAGCTTATCTCGAAACAATGATGAGTAGTTTAGCATTTAAGATTAGCCATATTGGGCCCTTTAGAAGCACTGTGGTTTAGGATAGGACTTGAGACTTGCAGGAACCTACCTACGTTTAGGCAGTCGAACACTTTTTTTGTATATTAGATGTATATTTTTTTTGTACGTTAACAGGAATACAAAGACAGGGATGGGAACACAAAATTGTTTGATGCGAATCGAGACGGAGACTCTCCGGTGATCAATTACTTCGACATTCCTATTATTGCCAGGTCGGTTGATTCAGCTTTTCCTGTTTTGTGCTGTTTTTAACAACGACGTCCCATTGTATCCCAGCATGTACCTGTGTCGTATGAATGTATGTTAATGATGTCTGTTCGGAACAATAACATCGAAGCTTTCGAACGTATCTTTAAACATATGCGTCAATAGCATAAGTAGAAACAGGTTCTATCAAGATCTACCTTGTTACTACGTTAGCGTAGCTCGTTTCGATTATAATACCGTTTTTATTTTAGAACATTTACGAACATTGTGACATTGTTATTATGGCTTTATATATACACACACACACACGAATATAATCGTGTTAATTGTGTAAATACTTTACAGATACATTCGCCTTAATCCCACGCGATGGCGCGATCGAATCTCGATGAGGGTTGAACTCGTCGGTTGTAAATACGAGGCTGAAGCGCTCAACTTCGACGGACAGGTAGCATGTTCATTAATTTGGGTCACCCTAGTGGGTTTTGTGGCCTGTTTGTTATTCACTTCATTGTGCAATGTCCGCAGCACAAATTTACCATTGCTTGAAGGCACGTGTCGCTAGCAGAGGATAAGTTCAGTGACTATTATGAATACTAATATTGATAATTAATATCAAATATGTTAATTATAATTAGTATAAAATAATGAAGATGAAACAATCGGTAACTAGTTGTTTTTCTAATTATAAATTGTTTTCTAGCTAATTACATACCATGCCCTATGGTTCCACCAGTCGGTTATTATATTGTGAAATATTAAATCGAAAAGCACTCTATAATTCTTATGTTACAAAATTTTGTTGCTTATAGGCCTACGTAATGAAAGCACTGCGACGAGCCATCTCTTCCTTAGAAGATCGTTTCTCGTTCCGTTTTCGAACGAATCATCCGAACGGGTTGCTTCTCTATTCAAGAGGAACGCAAAAAGATATCTTTGCTTTGCAGCTAGTTGAAAATCAGCTAACTCTTAATGTCGATCTAGGGGGTGAAGGTACATAATTGCGTTACTTACATGCTCAGTACGTATAGGAATTTTGTACACAGAAAAACGATCTGCTATATATATTCTTCATGAGTCAGTCGTTGATCACTCGATTCTTCGTTGGATATTTTAACCTTTTGGTTGGCGCTTTCTTACTGTAAAAAAGTGTTCGTCTCTCTAATGATATTTTTAATAACCAGGACTGGCATAAGCGAAACGTATTTGTTTTTATACATTTTCTATATATACATTTTAGGACAAATTACAACGTTAAAGGTCGGAAGCCTTTTAGACGATAACCTTTGGCATGATGTGTCAATTCACCGAAATCAGAGCGATATCACATTCTCCGTTGACAGAGTCCTTATACAACAGGTAAGATTCATATAAATGAATAAATTTTGGACAATTTCTTGCCACACGATGAGGCAAATCTTGGAGCGTCAGTTGACAAATTCTATCGCTTATTTGTAACGTGATTGCCTTTTATTCGTTTGTATCGCTAGGTCATTAAAGGAGATAGCATAAAATTAGACCTCAATCGGGAATTCTTCATTGGAGGCCTTCCATACTTTAGCCAAGAAGGTGTAGTTGTAACGAAGAATTTTACGGGTTGCATAGAAAACCTCTATTTCAACCAGACCGATGTGATCCGAGAAATCAAGGAGGATAATCGACGCTGGGACTACCAGATCTTTGGAGAGACCCTCTATTCCTGTCAATTCGAACAGGTAATCCTACCAAGTCTTTTACGTCGCTATTAGGGTTTTGAATGACCCGACACTGTCGATTTAACCTATCCTTTTCAGCTTAGTCGAGGGCATTGTTTTAGGTTGAGCAAAAAGGCCCGTTGTTCTTTAGCCACATTATTGTGAATGCATTTTAGTCAAAGTAGTATCCGCCGCGTCCTGTGATTCTCAGCCATCTTTCTGGCAGCCGTAAAGCTTTTCTCCCTACGAGCGATCCGTTCATTGTCTCATCTGCGGAGACATCTCGGCCAACTCTGTTCTAAGCTATCTGCTTTCCTGGTTGTGTTGTATTGACCAAAAAAGTAAAAATTAAGCAAACTAATGTTTGAGCTGTATACGTGGTGGGGCAGGGTTTCCCATTGGAAATTTGTTAAAGCTCACTGAATTATCACATCAAAATGCAGTGTAGCGTTGTAACGCAGCGGTGTCACTTTGTGTTGCCCTTTGCCGGTCCAAGGCCTTTTTCCGCAAATTTCATGGCCAGACGGAGAAGTTGATTTGTGTTACGGTCCCTAGTAGTTCCTTCCTTTGAGTAATTAATAGTGTAACAGTCCGTTCTTGTTTTAAGCGTTTAAACTTAAGACAAAGGTGCAGCTCTTAACCATAGTTATTTGTTCGCAGCATCCAAGTGGTTTGTGTTTAAAGCTGTCATAAAAAATCCATCTTTCATCGTCAGTAACGGTCTTTTATAAAAATTATTCGTTGTCATGCCGTGCAAACAACGAGCGGTATGTTGTAAAATATTTTTTTTTTTTTTGTAGTTTTCATTTAGTACTTGAGGATTCACTTACCTCTTTCATTAGTTTCTTCTGGTACATACAAACGAAAGTCATCTGGGGCATTCATAACTCTCTCGTGTTGATTGCGCCATATTTTGTTCAGGTCTCGCAATTCACTCCTCGTTCGGTTCTTGTGGGAGTCGGAAGCGTAGAGTTCTTGTTCAAGTAAAATGTTTGATTCTAAAACGATCAAACCGAAACTGGCAAGCGGTAACGCTCACTGCTTTCGACGTTGCAAACAATGATCTTTATCCCGGCAGCAGTTTTTTTTAGCATAAAAAAACCTAGCGAAGAAAGCGACGTTGGATACGTATCTTTTTAAGCTCTAACTGAACACAACTTCCAGCGATAACGCTTCAATGAGAAAAACAGCGCATACGTCTGACAGTCAGAGCAATAGTCCTGGGAACCTTCAGTTAAATACGCTCAGCCGATCCAGCACCACTTGCTGGCCCCAAGCAAAACTTTCTACTCAACTTAGTAGTAGATATTATTCAAATTATGTCCTATCCAAACTACGTATTACGGTATGGTTACGATGTGTTTTAAGGTTATTCCGGTGACGTTCGCTTCGGACGCGTCATACATTCGCGTCAATGGTTATATGCAACGGCAGATGAACACGTCGTTCGATTTTCGCACGTTCAACGAAAACGGAATGCTTCTGTACAATAAATTCTCCGGAGAAGGCCATGTATTAGTCTATTTGGAAAAGGTTTGTTTGATCTTTTGCTAAAATTCTTATTTGATGCTCAACTCAGTTCATCAGAATTTCTGTGCGCTGTCTAAGGTATATGATGTTTCAAACTTGCTCGTAGGTATAATGTCTTTGGCTAGGTACCGCCAACCTAAGCCTTTCTTGGGCATTTCTTCATAAAAGGCGATATAGTACTGACGATATATATATACTTACGCTCCGGCAGGGCTTGATCAAAGTGGAACTGCAGGGTAAAAACACGCCAATAGTCATCCTTTCTCCGTTTGATGAAAACCTCGCTGACGGCCGATGGCACAAAACGATGCTTGTTCTGCAAAACAACAGGATAGAGCTGCATATTGGTATAGTATATTATTGAGCCATTAGACAAAAAGAATCTTGAATGTATTTTGTCTTCAAAAGAGCAAAACTAACTAGATGATAAACTTGTACCTCTCATATGTAGCAATAGTTAAGAATGCTACGTTGCTGAATTGAAGAGAACAACACATAGATTTACGCAAAGTTCTATAAAATGACACTTGGAAATGGCAGGCTCTACAAGGAATACCAACAGACAGGTAAACGTTCTCAAAAGCATCGTTTCTAGTCGTAGACGCATGTATGCAAACTCAATAGAATGTACAGACAAAATGCTACGTAGTGGATCATGATATCATTCGGCTTGCCAGACTGCGCAGCGTCAGTCTTTGTGTACATCTGATAATCGATATGTGTGCTCACTTTGATTTCCCAGATCGCGTTCCTTCTATTACCAGTCGTCGTTTCTCAATGGAGACCGGCCAGCACTATTTGATAGGTGGTGGAGTTTATGGTCGACGAGGTTTCCTAGGATGTATGCGTTTCCTGTATATCGAGGGTCGATATATCAATCCCCTCGTTCTGTCGCCTGACCAGCACTTCGACGCAGTTGTATTCGACGCCTGCACAATGCTTGACAGATGCAACCCAAATCCTTGCGAGCACAAAGGTTAATTGATTTTGATTATATGAGACAGACGTATTTTGCCATAGTGTGATATACGCAACGCTCAATATTACCGACGCAACCAGACATTAACCATATAATAAAGGGTATGAAGTCATATACATGCATACGGATCTTACTGCGTCGGTAGCAATAGGACATTTGTCAAACGTATGCAAGTAGATTCGTTTACTGCTATAAATCAGTTGCTGCTTTTTACATTTACTGTACAGATAAAGGGGTAGGAGACAGGCTCGCCATTAGCAAGGACGTGAGTCTATCGCAGTATGGCACCACTATTGAATGACCACACGTCCGCTCTTGTCTGTGGCCTCGACTACACATTTGTAATTGCCTCTCTTAAAAGAAGATTAGCTGCTCTTTCCAAGATTCCGCCCCTTATTCACCTGCCCTGCAAATAATACATCCGAATAGTACCTGAATATACCTACTGCATACACTGGACATGTAGTTAGTTAAGATAGACATTTTGAAAAGGGGTCTACAGTGAAAATAGTTAGTTTTACAATAGCAAACTCATGTTTTTCTTAACCATTTCCTAAATCATAGGCTCTTCCTCACCTCTACACCTACTTTTTCTGCCCCGGTACACTCGGGGTGAGGTATAGGCTCTTAGCTGGGGATGTTATTGTGATTGCGCGTCTATGCAAAAAAAAATGATATTATCACGATGGCAAAATGATTCTTTGTAATGTTGGGTTGCAGGCGTCTGTCGGCAAACCTGGACCGAATTCTTGTGCGACTGCACAAAAACGGGTTATTCGGGTGCAGTGTGTCATGTTAGTCGGCATCCGCTATCTTGTGAAGGGTACCGAATTGAGCATCCCCTTGAAGTAGAAAAAACCATTCAGATTGATGTCGACGGCAGTGGGCCTTTAGCGCCATTCGAAGTTCACTGCCTTTTCCATTCCGACAACAGAACGGAGACTGTTGTACACCATAAGGTAACTGACATAGTAAAATCATTACTTTCAATTGCACGGGAGTTTATTATATGGGCTCTTATTAGGACTGGACAAAATGTTACATAAACGTGTTTTTATGCACGACTAATTTTTAAAATTGGGAATAATAGGCGGAGCACGCCGTCGAAGTGGAAGGTTATCAAGCTCATGGATCATTCGTACAGGATATTGTTTACGCAGCTCCACTAGAGCAGATCGTCGAGTTGGTGAATCGGTCAACATTCTGTCGGCAAACGCTTCGCTATGATTGTTTTAACTCAAAGTTGTTTGATTCGCCCACGGATGAACTGGGAAATTTCCACCCTTATGGGTGGTGGGTGAGCAGAACAAATCAGGTACGAATACTCATTATATCCTAGCACTGATTTACGTGAAACAGATTTAAATGCGTACCACATTCAGTCTGAATTTCAATAGTTTGGAGCATCATTAAGTACCTGTCAAAAAGATGATTTAAGTAATTTTTTTAGGTAATTAAAATAAACCTTTATTCTCTCTGACTTAATAGGCAATGAACTATTGGGGCGGTTCAATTTCCGGCTCCCACAAATGCGCTTGTGGCCTAACCGAAATCTGTGATGATCCAGGGAAGTGGTGCAACTGTGATTCCGGCAAAAATAAATGGCTTAGTGATCATGGTGATCTAACTGATCGAAACTACTTACCCGTCCGGCAGGTGAATAATTGTTTCTAGCCTATTAACTTTGATATACTTATGATGCAAGTTATGGATTGACCGAACATTTTTTTAATTGTGATAGGGAGTTTAGGCCGCTTTAGATCATTACGTCTCACTCTTTCATTGAAACGGCAAAGCTTTTAGCTTTATTACCTTTTCTTCATCATTTCCAGCTTCGCTATGGTGACACTGGCAATATGGGCGATAATCGTAAGGGGCTATCTTCATTATCGGCCCTACACTGTGAAGGCGATGATCTCTTCGATAACGTCATCACGTTCCGTTATTCTGATGCCACCATCGAGATACCGCGTTTCAACTGGGCTCATTCAGGCGATATCTATTTTCAGTTCAGAACAACTGCAGAGAACGGCATCCTCGTCCATTCTAAAGGCTACCAAGACTTCATAAAAGTATGACACAAGTTGAAAAGCTGCCTTTAGCTGTGTAACCATCATTTACTAACCTCAAACCATGTTGATAACATGCACAAATTGTTTCTTTGAATATAGGGGCTATTTATTTTTCGTTTGTGCTATCTCAAAATAGGTGGTCCTTGTCGGTGGCGACCAAATTCAGTTCCAGTATCAAGCAGGCAACGGGCTGCTGGGCGTGAGTGTCGAAACATCCTACAAATTAAACAACGATCAATGGCATTCCGTGCACGTCGAGCGAAACCGCAAGGTACGTCTAGGCCACGTATAATGTACCACGAAACCTGTATAATTGTATGTTCGCTCGATGCACCGAAAGGGTGGGCATTACAACAGTCAACATCCAGCATCAATAATGTATGCTTTAATGATTACAGGAAGCTCGTATTGTGATCGACGGTTCCCAGTCGGCAGAAGTGAAGGAGAGGCTCGACCGGGCTCGCCCGTTCAACCTCACAGCTTCACGTCTTGTCATTGGAGCATCGGTTGATTATAAGGAAGGCTTTGTTGGATGCCTTCGGGCATTTTTAATTAATGGACAGCTCGTCGATCTCAAGGTAGATTTCATATGCATACACAAGAACGCAATCATTTCTCGAAACAGAACTTCACTATGTTAGGTAATATCGTCTGCACGGTTTCGACCATACCCTTTAAGTTTGACTCGAGATACTAATATTTCACTATGGTGGTAACACGCACCCCTGTAGAGGGCATTGACGAAATGCATCTAATAACAACTTATCCAAACAAAATGTCAATACGCAGAAATGTAACTAAGTCGAAACACATATCTGGCTTATCTTGTTCCATACATAAGTCCAGTATCAGAATACGATAGGGGACATTTTTATGTCCAAACAAACAAATGTCTGTATCTTATTGTTCGTATATAATTCACTTATATCTTCCTGTGCGCTTACTCGAAGTGCTGCTTTTATTGTATCAAGTGCGGTAAATGAGACTGATTGTGTATGACTTTTTCATTTAATAAATTATAAGCAACAGAGTTAGTTGACGACACCTAGCCCTTTCGTTCTTTCAGAGTCAAGCGCATCAAGGATTGTACGGTGTTTCAGTGGGATGTGTGGGCAAGTGCATCAGCAGCCCCTGTCAAAACAACGGAATCTGTCTCGAAGGGTACTCACACTACTCATGCGATTGTCAGTGGACACCTTTCAAAGGTCCAATTTGTGCCGATGAAATTGGCGTCAACCTCCGTTCGGATTCGTATGTGCGCTACGATTTTGAAACGACGGTATCTACTCTTGAGGAATTCATTCGTGTGGGCTTTACTACCACAGAGCACCAAGGAATGATTTTTGGCATGTCATCGAAATCTGGAGAATACCTAAATCTGATGATGTCAACTTCGGGTCATCTTCGGCTTGTTTTCGATTTTGGTTTTGAAAGACAAGAGCTAACCGTCAAAAATGAAAACTTTGCCCTTGGACAAATACATGACGTGCAGATTGTGCGGTCGGATAAGGGACGGCGTCTTTCCATATACGTCGACAACTACCCGCCGCATATTCATACTTTCAACGTCGGCCACAAGGCAGATGCGCAATTCAACGAGCTAAAATCCATTTATGTCGGCCGAAACGAGACAATGTCGACAGGCGAAGGTTTTTCAGGTTGCATCACTCGAGTGCAGTTTGAAGATCATGTGCCTCTGAGACGACTCTTCCAGGAGTCTCGACGAGCGAACGTTCATGCGTTCCCCGACGACCTGCGTGAGGATACGTGCGGCATTGAGGCTGTCACATACCCTGAAGAGCAGAGTGAGACTAGGCCGCCACCAACATTGCCACTGGGCGTATTTCGGGAAAGCTTCTTCCGGCCTGCACTCAATGAATCGGCCATTTTGGGTATCATCTTTGCCATACTCTTGGCAGCTTTTATACTCATGTGCTTTATTCTGTCGCGGTTTATTTCACGTCACAAGGGCGACTACATTACGCAGGAGGATCATGGGGCACTGGACGCACCGGACGCTGATACGGCCGTCATGCATGCCAAAACCGGACACCATGTCATGAAAAAGAAGGAATGGTTTCTTTGAGTGTTTTCGCATAGAAAATAATGTTTCTATGGTGTTTACATAGGCTGACGTCGATTTCCAGCTTGCAGCTACAGGATTTTTCAGCTGATTCCTACTGATCAGTTCACGGAGCTATCTAGCATAACGCTAGTCCTGAACTTGGACGCTAACTACAAGACTGATTCTTTGTTTGGAGAAGATTCTTGACAAATCAACGATCTGTCATTTTTCGAGTGTGTCTCTCTAAGTTTTAGATTAGTTACGCGTCAGCCACGAGGACTTTTGCGGGTACACAGAGCCCCTTTTCTGGAGGAAGGTTGCTGATTTTCGGATCAGACGTCTGCCGCAAAGCAGACTACAGCGGGCCATAGTATCCTATTGCCTACCGATGTATAATTATTTATCATTTAAATTGACAGAGTGCAGTCGCTATGAATCTTGATCGGACGGGTTGCTTCCCCGTCTTTTTCGAACAGGACTAAATACTCTATTGAACTAATGTTCGTTTTTCGATTTATCTTGATTGAATTTCATTTGACTGAATTATGCAACGCACCATCTTTCTTTTCACATTGATGACATTAGTACATTCATATAGAGTTTGTCCGTTTTGCGGCGTCACAATCGGCTGATCAATGGTCGATCATGACGGCCAGGTTTTACATTCAGCCATAACAGCGATGGTTTTTGTGGCCTATGTAGAGATATAGGCGGCATATATTCACAGTGGGTAATCCGTTTCAAAACTCGAGTAAAGGGTTTCATTTATTGACACTAAAGACCGTTGATGAGACGTAAATGATAGCGACTGCCGGAATAATCTAACAAAAATTGTTATACAAGTGCCTTAACAGACAAGCATTCCCTGATAAATCTTAGAAGCCTTCATTTAGGCGAAGCGGTAAATTGTAAACTTTTTCACGCAGCCATTTTGGAAAATGGGAATTCGAGCAATCAAGCGAGGTATAAATGTTGTCCGATTGATGTTTGCATAAAATGTCTAACTAGCAAAGTTTTTTTTGTTTGCAAAGTACGTAAACGTATCACCTTGTACACAAATCCACAGAGGATAATGAGGAATTTAATTGTGTTGCGTAGCATATTCGAAAGGCCAAGGGAGAGCGGTGACGTTACAGAATGGTGTAAAAGTCAACCCCGAATTTCCCAAACGCCTGGTACTGGTACTATAAACTCACGATGTTTATAAGGGTATATAGGTATATCGAAATGGTAACAGAATAAAGGATCCAACTAATGGATAGATAAAATAAATCTAGTTAGGTTTTTTTTACCCTGAGCAGGGTGTTGCGGGAATGATAATAACGAATCACTATTATTAATTATTACTACCGGTACTAGTACATATTAATGTGTCGTGCGAGTTTTTTTCTACCGCAGATATAGCTGGCAATGGTAACGATGGATCTATTGTCAGCTCTGAACTGTGCGAACAAATATAAACCTACAGATGTAAGTACGCGTATATCAACACAGCAGGTTTGCAAACGCTGTCGACAGACTTTTTTTTTTCAAAAATTAATAATAATGGCAATAATTAATAATTATGATCATCAATAAAATATACGATACAATGTTAAGAAAGAAAGATTGGTCTTGCTACACTTTTTAATCATTATTAAATTGTATGTCGGCTCCGTTGTTGTTATAATTCCTGCATAGTGATAAACAGCACGACGGAAGCTCTTTCCATTAGGCTACGAGAGGCAGCTTTAGTTCATAGAGGTATGATGTCTGTGTTTAATTAAAGTGTAATTGTGGAGTCTTGATTTTAGGTTCTCGTTGAACTTTTTGCTTGTCTACCACTAAAGTTAACTTGTATGTGATACCCGCTCGTCACAAGCCCACAGGCTGGGCATACGAAAAATAGGAAGGGTCCGAAATATTATTAGTTAGATTTTTTTTTTATCAAAATCAAAAACAAGCGCGCATGTTCTGGCTGCCTCCCATCACTGGAGTTGAAGACGACAGGCTGAAGTCTGCTTAACATTATTGTTAGAAACGACACGTGCCACGGAAAAGTATACCAGTGCATTTGTTAAAGACGTTTTTATCGTGTGGCTGAAATGAGCTCACTATAAATCATTAATTTTCGGGAAAAAAAACTATCAATTGAAGGTGCCGTTGGTTCATATAGCCTCACGAGGTGGGGTTATATGGGTGGGTCACTAATGATTTCGTGCAGAAAACCCAGTGTTCTAACGAAGCTAAAAAGAAAATACTGTCCCTCGTAGAAAAGACGGTGATTGTAAGCTGACGTGTTATAGGGTTAAAGATTATTATTGATCTGCCCCGTGAAGGTGGCCCAAGTACCGCTACATCTACTAGTTGCACCTCGTTCGAGTATTGATGGAGTATTAGGGCACTATTTCTTTGAGAGAACTTGACTGAACTGCAGCCACTGCTGTATAACTGTAGTGATCCCTGCACAAATGAGTACCTATTGTGAGTTCTATTTGTAATGCGGTTCATCTGTTCGGCCATATTGTTGTCAAAAATTATTCCAATGTAACGAGATGTGAGACGTTGTTCACAACAACAAAAAAGGAATAAATCAAATATGAAGATACGAAGTTCAACTTGATATATATACATATATCCGTATGTCTATTAAACTGAGCTGTACTTTGAAGCTAGCGCGTTTTTTCTCTGAAAGTACCATTTTTGACGTTCGACGTCCGTCCCATAAAGCCCCACTTCACCCTGCTCTATGTTATCCTTAAGGTGATTATGTGTTACGACTCACTGCGATGACTCTTGTAACACGCAATTTGCTTTCAGCCCGTCTTCGTAACTTTGATATAGGCGAAACTATGGTAGAAAAACGAGGTAATTAGTTTGCTTGTTTATTGCTTAGCGGAAGTTCGATGAAGTGGGAAAAATGCCTACCCGTCTCAAATAGTTGTAATTTATATAATGCAAGTTTAAATTGAGTTAAGGAAAAAATCCAGCTAAGAAACACTTCAAAACCTCTGAAGGTTTGCCACTTACTTAAAGTTAAGTTTTAACGAAAATAGCTAAATAGTACTTATTGTTATAGGAACTGAAATCTATGATAGCGCTCTGTATGTGTATATATAAGTAGAAAAGAGGAAGCTGAGTTGCGTATGCTCAGGATATATCCAGTCTATAGCCTTGTTTCTCTTTAATTAAAATTGCTCTGGTGCTCAAGATATTTTTTCAAAATATAATCTGTTGCCCATACACTTGATTCTCGTATACGAAATGCGGTCTACCAAGTAAACATTTTCCGTTAAGATCTATATAGATTCGAGACATTTAGATACACTCATGTATCTCGCTATTATAAGATCTAACTGAAAGCTTTGATGATATTATAAAAGGGTAGGATTTTTCCATGATTTCCAGCAAAGGGAATGGTCGGTGAATGGCGTTTCGTAGATGTCAATAATTACTGAATCTTATTTGAGATACTTATAGGAATGGCTAGATACGTTTCCCTTAGTTTAACAAGAAGAAAAACAAAAAATTGACCAGTAGATTATTGAGTAGCAATGTTTCATAAGTACAGTACCTTAAAGTGCGTATACGAAGCTTTCAAAACGATTTCCCGAGCTTAAAGATGTCCGTCAAGTAGGTTTCTCTGTCTATATACAAAGGTCCCGGAGAGTTTCCAAACGATCCCCAAGGCGTGTAATTTTATGGTGGTAAAGATCGTTAATTTAGAGCCTGCTTCCTCGTTAACTCTTTAAATACATAGCTATATTATTGTTGGCACTAGAATTAACTGATTGCCAAAGTTGCTTTTGAGGCATCCGGCAGCAATAGAACGTCTGTGCTTTGAAAGAAGATTAGCGTTTCTTTTCTTCAATCCTATCAATACCCCCTTTATTAATGGCCCCTTTGCTTTTTTGTAGAGCCTATTATATGTATGGCCTAGAGATTGGCCAATATGGCGCTACATATGCCGAAATTAAATAGCATACTGCATGTTAGGTTAACCACTTTAAAAAAGTTGCGGTTTAAAAGAGTTGCTTTTCTTTGGGACTTTGGGGAAATTTTTTTGGGACTAGCGATATTATTAAATTCTGAATTGCTATAAAAACGTCACCGGATTTTTTTGGCACAAAAGCGGACCAGCTACACAAAAGTCTGCGAATCGCGAGAAGTACGATACTATCACGCTACAAGATAATTTATGGCAGGATTCAGGTCGCTTATTAGCAGAGGGTAGAAATAAGAAATTTCAAACTTTTCTCGGATAACAATATGGTAAATAGGTTGATGAAAGAAATTGATCACGACACCTGTTAACATTTCCCAGTTATCCTTTGCATTATAAAGCCCTCGCCCACAAGATGGCGTTTGCATTACATGAACGTGTCGCACTCTTTCGACACCCTTGTGTAAACTTATTGCAGCCCCATGGTAGCTTAGTGGGTTATGAAACATAGATGTATTGCGAAGCGCGCTTACCACGTAGCATATAATAATTACAAACGTTATGTACTTTGCAATCTTCAGGGAAGGTACAAAAGAGATGGACATGGTACAAGTGTCTTCTGAGAAGGAATTCGACGCGTTGCCTCGAACCAAATGGAATATACAGCAACCGTCAATGGATGCCGTTTGTGCGGAAGCCATCGATGCTGGTACTTCACTTCTGTAGTTTCCATTAGTTATTTTTCTATTCAGTACATTGATCAATGCAATAGTTCGCTAGCTTCTACCTTATAGCAGTTAGGCGATACCAGACGCAAAACATGGAGGCAATCTAGTAGGAGAAAAGCTACGCAGAAAATCCGGACGCACCATCGTGATCTCGTCGTAGTAGTATAAGTGGTTATGCAGTGTTGGTAACTATTGAATTCTCACGGCGGAGCGCAGAGACCACCTTTAACGACCATTAATTTCACACGGTAGCTTTCATTTATGAGTTAGTCCTAACATGCTATATTGATAGGCCATAAATTTATGCTCTGAAATCTGTGCAGTAGCGTTAGGTAGAACGTACAAATTATCTAGGGATTTCTAACCAGTAGTTTTTTCAAGCTAGTTGTGTGAATTTCAAAAGTCTAATAGACTTTTATAATAAGATGCCTTTGAAATCTTGCAACGCTCAGTGTAAAACCCTGTTTCGAAAAAAAAAAAACACTATAAGCAAAACACTATAAAACCATAAAAATGAATATCATTTGAAGAGCAAGCCGCGAGTAGAAGAGCTTAGACAAAAATTAGAATTATTTTTAAGTTTATCATCATTGGATGTGTAGATAATATTAATAACAAGATAATCGTGTGCATTGCATTTAGAATATAGGTTGTCTAGTATGAGACTGTCAGATAGAAAAAAAAAATAATCCCTAGGAAATACAGGAAGGGAATAATATGAGGAAATTACAGGAAACCTTATGTACTTACTACCAAATTAGTATATGTGGGTTGTCTTTCAAAATATGGTTATAGGCGGTCTCGATTTGGTCATCTGTCCCGGAGTGGCGTTTACTATTGAGGGGCATCGTTGCGGCTACGGAATGGGGTACTACGACAGGTGAGTTCAACTGTCCACTCATATTCGAGCTTTCTATGTATCAGGGCGTAAACGACAGAAGGGTGAGAGTCGATTCAAAACTAGCTGGCAAAGTGATGTACTTATTACCACATGTTCGAACGTTTCTTAAGCCTCATTGTGCTAGAAGGCAGCGTCCGTGTACACTGTCGTGGGATTTTAGCCGTAGCAAAATAGTAAATTAGCCGAAAAAATCGCAGTTGAACGGAGCGTCAGCGTTAGACTAAAAGAAATTGTGTACATCTATTATTTAATAACATTCGATATTTATTCAATATTTGTACATAGACGTTTATCAGAATCTAAAAGGGCATTGGAGATAAGCTGACATCGAGTCACCTGAACCTACATGTCAGTCAGCTCTGTCATAAACGAAGCCTCAGATTTAATAGACACGAAAATGTCTAAAAACAAAATGCTGTTTTTATATGGGAAAAACAGAGTTGAGTAGCTATAAATTCGTGGTCTTTGTCGTTCGATTCTTTAGTGTCCCCTTCGAAAAGCATGGAAAAAGTGTCTCTAAATCTTCCTTATTCATAGTATGTTCCGGCGGCTGCTTTCTTGGATAGACATTTTCGATCTGAGTGTTCTTTTGGTAGTGTCAGAAGCTTACTAATTATCCTGCAAACATAGCCTTGCATAAATACGATGATTTTTCCTAGTATCATTTAGAGAGACATCAAAACCTTTAGACATTAAATTTAAATTATCGTCGATATTGTAGGTACCTCACGAAGCTACGAAACAGCTGTCCTAACAAGAAAGCTGTGCTAGTTGGCTTGGCCTTTAAAGTTCAGATAGTGGACAATGCTGAACTTCCTTGGGAAGATACTGACATCAAAATGGACAGAATCCTTCACAGCTGAACCTTTACATCAAATAGGCCCGTTTGGCTGACGTTCCATAGAGAATTATCACTGCGGATCTCGTAGAGTATCTTGAAACATTCGCTCTAATTTAACGCGCATTCCCAACGTATTGAGTCTGAATTATATAATGGAGTGTACTTCGCACAACGTAGTTTTTAATGGAAACAATGATGCACTTGGTTTTGAATTGAAAGATGCTACGAAATACGTAAAACCTACGTAATTTACCTGTGTCATATGTTTTTGAATTATGTGTATTCATTTTTAGCAACAGACGTGCTCAGTAGTAACGTTGATCTGGGTCGATTTGAAAATGATCTGGGTCGCTATGAGCACACTCAATTCATAGAATTTCAGTATTTTTTCAGTAGTGGTGTTCTTGTACTTTATCGTATTGATAGAATCCGCAGTAGATAATCTGACGTGCTTTTTTTTTTGCATTCGGCCACCATGTCTGATTGTTACCAGCTGCGAAAACTTGAAATCCGTGTTATTAAAAATAAAAATACGCAACAACAATATATTGAAATAAAAACAATGTACTAACTCGCAGAAATTGTTTTAATCTAGAATTGTATTGTTATTAACGAAATCGTTATGGCCAGTTTAATAGAATACAGCTTAGCATGGCTGTTTCCACATACGACCGCTAGGTCACGAGACGCGAATCACGGCAGTAGCACGGGTTTCATCACTACAGCACAGTAGTAATGACTAGCACGCTGAACCACTCCCGTATATACGGCCACTTATATAACGGTAACGCTACGTCGCAATGAAAAGTAGATATACTGTCAGAGGAAATTGTTTTCGTTAATTTATTGAGGTTTTTTCTTATTAGAGAACTATTGCGCGTATAATGAGCATGTATATATAAAAAAAAAAAATGAGAAGTTAGATATCTACTTGCTTTTTTGTCATTTGCCTAGTTCCGCATGCGTTTAGGACAAGCTATAAAACAGCACCTCTGCTTTGTACAAAAATTTCTCGCAAAAATTGATACGAACTCACATTTGCCACCAAACAATTCCCTTTCTGTGTATGTTAACTTTTCGTCTTATATTGGTATCGAGTAGATAGTACGCAGTCGAATCACTGAGTATTATACAAAGTTGGTGATAATTAGATAATGTGTAAGTTTTCCAATACGCTATGAAATCGACAACGTACTAATAGAAAAAAATTTTGACAGATGGGTGCAAGGATTTGATTTTTCAAACTATTATAAAATGTCTTGATGTAATAAGGACCAACAGCTGGGCCAGTTGTTGTAACAGGATGAAGCCTAAAATGACCTGGCAACTGTCTCTGCCGGCCGTACCTATCAGTGGACATGCGTATACCCACACGACTTTTATTCGCTCTTGACACCATCCTTGTTTTAACATTTCTCTTAAGGACAAACTCCTATATATTGCCTGCTCGAGTTTAGCATCAGAGGACTAGGCCTTTCACTGTTCGTCGTTTAAAATTTTGTTAAATGTTGTTACTCGTATCATTCAATCGTATGTGCTTGCATATATCTTAATTGTAATAGTCTGACAAATCTTTACTGTCGGAGATTAAGTTTTTGTATCGAGGAACGACTTATTTAAGTTGATTCACAGGAGAGCCATTATGGCTTACGATTTACCGTAGGATTTAGTGGCATCTACCCTTTATTTATCTTTGCAAATCTCTACAAAATCACTGATTGTCGTGTACGAGTTTAGTCCCGGAATATATATTTGTTCAAGTCTCTTGATGCGCCCAGTCGACCACCTATAGATCTTTTTTATTCCACGCTTTGCCGTTCCTTCGATGGCAATCTCGCTGAATCGCTTCTTTTTTCAGTTACCATTTGCTGTTGTATAGCAAAAGCGTCTGTCTCCGTGCTCGTCTAATAACCTCCTTCATTTTGTAGCTTGAAGCAATCGTTCGACGACGGGTGCCTGTTGCAGGTCGCCTGTTACCCGTCGTCTTTTTCACCAACTTGGCCAAGAAGCGGCTGCTTCTCCAGCCCGCCCAGTCGGGCCGATGTTGTCTGTTGACACGGCTGTTCGCTTCATCTGTACTGGTCGAGGCCAAGGCAAGAGAGATTCAAGCCTAGGTCTCGCCGTAACAAACCTGCTTGCGGTCCCTTCCATAATGTTGAGCTCTCCCAGCAAGTCGTCGAGAAGCTGGGTGTTGCTCTGCATCTAGATTGCACACAACATTATCTTTCTAATTTCAGATAGTATGCACCTGCAGACCTATTTGCGAGCTCTCAAGACCGGTTCCGCTATAGCAAGATCTTGCTACAATAAGAAACTTTATGAGAGAAATATTTTACGCAAAGAGTAAACCAAAACTATGCTAATCGAGATAAAAATAGGGTTATGCCCATAAGCGCATTATTAGTTAGAAATCGAACATAACCTAACAACACTGTTTCAGTCTCTCTGGTACCCGGATGGTATAAGCGAGTTCCTAAAATAGAGGACGTTGAGACTAGTTCAATGTATATATACATAAGTATTAAGAGGTAATTAAGTAGGATACGAAAAAAGGCGCAAGCAAAATTCAAATGAGACAACGTCCTTTACCTGTGGACCACTGCAATAAATGTCTCACGTAAATCTACCATCAACAATTTATAGGGCAATCTATTTCAGGTCGTCCAAATGTTTCGTACAGGTCCCGCTGTAACGGTCTGTAAGTTTACTATAATGCGCTGCAGAAGAAAAATTTCGGGTTTTTTTGTATTATAACTAGCTTTATTTGTAATTATAATGCTAACAATATGTCGAAGTACGATTTTTTTGCTGATATTCTTTAATGGGACACACTCAATTGTCGCCACTATGGCGTAGACTAGTTGCAGAACTCGACCAGGGTAAGTGGTCTCGATATGCACGAATCGCACCGGTCCATGAGGCGGCTGTTATAACCGGGAGTGCTCATTCTAGGTAGAATCTCTAACCGGTCGGACGGAGGGTCTCTGACCCAACGGGGGCCGCCAGAGCCGAGCTCCTGAGAGGAAAAACTAATCTTTCACAAATTCTAAATCTCCACTTAAGATTGACCAATTTATCAGTTGATTCAACAGCTAGATTTTTTTCCTAAAGCTTTTCTTGGCCTGCGATGGTAACTGTGAAGAAGTTAACAACAAATAGATGGCCATCAGTGAGTTAAGGTGCGCGAGGAGAGAAAGTAGTTTGTTAGCCAATAGTCTACAATTTAACATTCATTGAAGTGCGTTTTGCTAACGTGTCCGAATTAATCAGCATCTGAACATAGATTTTACTTCTGTGCTTGCCGAAGCTGATAATGATCTACTGTAGACATGTTTTGTTTTGTGCATCTAGGATAATGTGTGGATAATGTTAAATCATCAAGAAGTTTTGCATAGGTAAGAGACTCATCGTAGCTTGTAGGCCGGCGCTAGGATAATGATTATTGACTTTCCTACGCTTAGCGTAGTGCTTGCGTATTTGCATCAAAAAAAAAAAAAAAAAAGAGCGGCATAATACAAGACGTATCGGAGCAAGCACCTAAGAACCAAACCTATATCTCAAGAAATCAATAAAAAGCCCTTAATCAAGTACTGTATCAAAGTGTACCGTATAGTAGTTTTTGCCGAAAATTCTATTTTACATTCGGCCTATATTCAATAATATTTGTTTAGTGTTATTCCGGAGGTGAGGGGGGTGAATGGTGGTTCGTAATCGAGGCAGTGACCGGGAGGCACTCATGCGGAAATCAGGTAAATAAACAATGTTTGCATTGTTACTGAATTACTCCGCTTCAATTCAGTGATCCTACGGCAAGGCTGGATTGTGTCGTCCGTATCGAAATTACCTACTCCCAATGCCAGCGTTTAAACTGTTTTTCCTAATTTTCACGCGGGATACTTCATACGGATCAACATGTGTGCCCCTTTTTTGCCCCATATACATAGGCTCTAGACGAATCTTTCGACTAGAAGGCGAGTTTACTTCGTCAACAGGATCTAAGTAGCACTTCAGCCTCCCTGTACGTTCTCTACTGTTTCACTGGTGAGAAAGAGTCATATTGAATTAATACAATTTAATTGCAAACGGCTCAGTTTTTTATTGCCTGGACATTTCTATGCGAAGTTATACGAGATCTTTGTGAAACGACCACACTCACTCAGCATGTGAATTTTCTACATAGGCTTAGGATTTTCGCTGAAAAGCTTATATCTTTAAGCTTTAGTTGGACTCAAATAAGGGTCAATAGGGGTTTTGGTTTCGAAGTGATTCCACCGTAACAAATTCTATTTCTATTAGATACTTCAAGGTACCAAAGGGTTTATTATCCCTCAGTTAGAATGAGTTCGTTCTGCTTCCTTTCAATTAATTGTTCTTACGTAAGCTTCGTGCGTTGAGCCGTTAGGTACGTCGCAAACTTTTTAGATATTCGAAAATGCGCTCACGGTATTATATTGTTTATTCAGAGACAGACGAAACCTTGTTTAACAGTAGGACGAACCTTTCCACTCACTGGTTATCCGTATGAAAACCTCATCTTTATCGGGCTAAGTCCGTACTTCATTGCGCGATGCGTTTCAGTGTTTATGAACCCTCCATGATGATTCTATCCTTTTCCTCTGCATACATATAACGCTGAAGTACTGATAATTGAGTTAGCCAACCATGCATTTAAGCGTTTATATTCGTGCATTCTCGACGCAGCAGTTACACGAAGAGCTTTTAGTGTCTACTCTCATAGACTATTTTCTGATATGCTCAGTTTGTGGCTGTGGTGATACTGCCGGCCGCTTTTGGCCAAGGCCAAACAAAGCCTACAATCGACTCACCCGAATGGGCATAGTACGCCCTATCGGGTCGTAATCCCGAACACTTGACTCGGTGCTCAAGCCTGTATGTTTTAGAACCCAGATATTACATTACTATAAAATATAATCTCACAGATATACACACGCATACTCAAACCAGAGAGTATAGACAATATGACATAACAACCATACCGCGAGACTTCTAAGCGTCTCGAACGTATGCTGATCGACTGTACCAAGAAGTAATATTGCACTATCAAATCAAATATCTTACAAAGAAGGTTGCGTCCTAAAACAAAAAGGCCACAAAATTATATAATTAGTGAAACACGAATTTGGTACTCATTGTCAATGCTAGGTAATACTATTTATCTACCGCCGGTGGTTTAGATAGCAGTCGCCATGATAACCGATATCAATATGACACGATATTATAAAGATAACATTGTCGTATATAGTTCTAATTAGACTTTTGACATTAACACTGCAAGTATAACATCAAAATCAGTAATGCGCTTTTGCTGCTAAATCGAATAGAGGATCTAAAACTGGCCTAAGTTTTAATGTCTGTTTTTTTATCTTTATCGGATTACTTCAAACAGTTGTAGATGGGCCTAATGAATACAGTGGCGTTTCTACAACGACACAGAAAGAAATGTCTTCTTTTCTTTAGTCAGTTCACCGTATGAAGAACGTATCATTGTTGTTGCTTACGGCAACGCTTGTTGGTCTATCATAGATGCACTGAAACTATAGTATATCGTGGCAATCAATTCCACGCTTGCTTTGTCTGATGATGATAGATGAGCCTGCTGTCGACTATAATTACGGTTTCGTCAAAGGGTACGACGGTTTAATCGTTTACATATCCAACTAGCTCGATGAAACACATAGACGTTCTTATTATGTTTATCTTGAGACTCGATCAGTGGGTTCTTCGAAATGCAAGCAGAACTTCGAAGTCTCTCCCCATCGCCTGCTTGGTCTGATAACTGTGCGCCATCTGTCCCCAAAGCTTTTAACGTGCATAAATTGGCCAAAAATCTAGTTAGACACGTTTTTAGCTCAAGCGAATATGCACGCACGTGAGGAATTGATATGACCTGATCCAATTGGTAAAAATAACGAGTCGAACATATCGCTTTCTGTGGTACAACGCCACTCGTTTTAGCATAAAAAATCAACGCGTAATATTAATCTAATATCTATATCTATAGATTCGATATAAGAATGACGGGTGTTGAAAAATCTTTCTTCTTAAGAGTGGTAAGGCCTGTGTATATCTATATATA